AGTGGCCTTGATGGGGTGCCCAATCACTCGCCCCATTGGTTGCGGGGAAAAGACGGAGGCGTCGACGTACCATGGTCAGGCAGGTAGCCTTTAGCTACTTGCTGTGTGTCTTGGACTTCTGCTTATGCCTGGACCCTGTGGAGAGGGGAGGGGGGAAGGTGTTTCCTGTTTGAGGTTGCTGACAGGCATAAACGAGATTAATTAGTGGGGTCGGAGATGTCCTGCTGGTGAGATACTGACAGTAAGATGGATGGAGTCGAGTGATGAGGATGGACCGGTGAGTGTGTGTCTACTTCTCTACTACTAGTTCTGGACACCCCAAACAGTAAAAGTTCCCCCCGGTCATGTGGCATCACGGGGTTGAATTCAACTATAATGGCCTCGGTATTTGTTTGTTCTCCCCGTAGGGCTGCTGAGTATTCATTACTACTGGCAATCACGTTCATGACCTGCAGTTACAGGGGAGCATCCCCTGTGATAATGACTAGGCGCCTTCTATTTTTCTATTTCTGTTAAATCTTTTGCCCTTACTGGATACAAACCCCGCTCTTCTCATCCTTGCAAGGCAGGCACTGGGTCGATGCGCGACATCATCGCCGGAATTCGTCTTCTCCGGTCTGTCCTTGTAGGGAGAGATACGTAGGTCTGCTGACACTGTCCCCCGATCCCTTGTCAAGCAATCGGAACGGCGATCTCTATCTAACGGGCTGTGTGTGACACAAGGTATAGATAACACGCCAGAATTGATACCTCGCTACTGTTGTGTCATCACCACGGTTTGAACAAGGAAGAAGACAACAGAGGACCGTCCTATCATCCAAATATCCTCTCCATACCGACGCGGCGCATCAAACAAAGCGTCCCAAACCATAAAGCCGAAAGGGGGTACAGACTTCATCCGGGCAAACAGGCCATCTGCATAAGTGCAACCTCAGACCCTTGTCCCTATTTCTAAACAGGAATCACCCCGTTCGCTCAACCTACCTACCTCCTACTTTCCCGACTCAAAACGCACAGATCACGCAATTTTCTCACTACTGTATAATATACAGCACCCAGTAAATAGGGCATCCATCCAGCCGATGCAGATCTTTTCAAAGACACCACGCACGGATCAGGTAATTGCGTGTGTATTCCATACAAGCGTGCAGCTCACGGACTTAAGCAAAAGCTTGTGTCAGCCGATGCCCATCCTGCCCTTACCACTGTTGGGAAATTATCGACCAAAACACACGTCAGCTGAGTGAGAATCCTAAGTAGTAGCGAAGACGGCTGAAGGGGAAGCAAAAAGGGTCTGAGACACTCTGAGGCAAGATAAGGTTTTCTTTGACGGCCAGTCTATATCGCGGTGAGCTATTGCTTATGAAACACGGCTATGGGCGGCGGTCAGAGGGGGCGAGAGGATTATCCCCCCTCCACTCCCTCCCTTTTGTCCGTGAGTAAGTTGGTGCTGCTACTGGGATCTCGCCGATGCCGGCTTTCTCCGGCGTCTGCTTTGGTTCACCTGCAGGGGCTGTCTTTGTACTGCGGTGTACGGGTTAGGATGTACCGAGGGGAGCTACTATAAGCGGTTAAGGTATATTTTTGCATAAGATGATGGACGGACATAAAATGCTTAGCTTAAGCTTGCTGATGTACGGGTAGCCTGTTCCTGAGGTGCGGTTGGGTGCCTAGGCAATCGTTAGTTATGCGATGGTTGAGTCAGGAGCTGCACGGCAGAACGCAGAGTTCGGAGACTGATCAGCATATTTGCAGCCCCCTTTGTCTGGTTATTTGATGTTCTATCTGGTCGGACTGCTAACGGGGTGATGCGTGGATTCCGGTAGTGGTGACCTGGATTGTAGAGGCTGGTGCGGGAATGGCGGCTTAGTTAGTTGTTGCCGAGAATGACATGATGACATGTCATCTGACTGGCGGTTTAATCCCGCCAGAGCTACTTTCTCGTATGCGGTATGAAACATATTTAGGTTACAGGTAAGGAATTTCGTGGATGCTATTAAGGTATTGTGGAGGAATCTGAATGGAAACAGGATATTCTGATACAACGTGCATTCCGCAAACTTTGTTCAAACGGTCAAGGAATGCTTGGTGAAGAAGCGTGAGCAGCAATTCACCCTGGGGTGCATGAAGATGGACGGGCCAGTCCAATCAAGGTTCAACGGCATTCCAGCAGATGCACCAGCCAAGATCTTGGCGGCGCCGGGTCGACGATGATCGCGGGCTAAGATTTGCGATGTGCAACATGCATAGGGCTCTGGCTCGTGAGGTTGACCGGGCTGGCCGAGGTGACTGATCGTATAGGAAGCAAAGACATGAGGCTTCTTATTGCTGCCTCGATTGGACAGTCGAAAGTAAGGACCTGGCTGGAGCCGAGACAAGCTTGCTGTACCCACGAGCCAAATGCATCTTAATCTAGTGGCTTGCTGAAAGATGAGATCTTTGATCCCTTACAGTTGCGCATCCAGCCAAGCAATGTTGATATCAATCCTCGCGTATCGTTTTGTCCTCAATCTCTGGTTCTGGCGCCCTAATGATGAGCGGTCACCATAGGAGTATGCGACTGGATTGGAGCCCGAATGGATGATGCAACAGTAGTTGTGGAAGGTAGACCACGCCACAGGTACAATAACTGCTGAGTAGCTTGCTAGACCTCACCACCTCTCATCATCTTCCATATCCAGCTCAGCTGCGGAGGTCATTTTACGACCCAACTTGCGCTTCTTTGGCCGCCTCTTATTCACCACCACGCTCTCTAACTCATCACCCGAGCTCGCCATCGTACTACTCTGACCGGTATTTGCTCTTTTGCGGCGCATTGTTCGGCTGAGCTGAGGGACTAGGGGTAATTCGTCTGTCGGGATTTCCTCTCCCTCCACAAGCACCATGTCTCCGGTTTCACCCAGAGATTCCTTGGCCATTTCCTCCATTAGAATCCCCATAGCTATCAACGCCGTCTCGTCCATGCTCTGGTAATCATCCCGTCCTCCATCGATCGTCGCATGGTCATAATAGTCGGCCGAGTATGCATGAATGGCCTCAAGCAGCTCGGAGCTGGGTAGGGGGCAGCTGGGCGGGAGAGCCTCATGAGCAAAGTAGAAATCATTTTCTTCGTAGCGCTGCGGGGCGTTTTGTCGACGGAAAAGTACTTCCTCCGGACGGACTGGACGAGTGCTGGACGATGCGGTATCGCGGTATTTGGAAGAGAATGGGACCGATGGCAGAAAGCCATGATGATTCACCCGACCTGGACACAGTCAGCCTGCTGAAGCGGGAGACAAGCCACATGAGCACTAACCGGCAACGGCATCATAGACAGTCGCTTGTCGCTTCTGTCGCCTGGCGCCGAAGTCATCTTGTTCCTGGGCTTCGACAACATCGGGGGTGGGAGGCCGGACGAAGGAATTCTGGCTCAATGCAAGGGATTTGCCGTAGGACATAGTCCCGGATTAGCTAGAGCCGCCCGTGCGAAAGCATCAGGAAGCTTGTTCCCAGGGAGGACCGGACAGCTGGAGGAGACTCTGCCGGCGGGCAAGTTGATACTTCCGATTGCTTTTGCGACACCCGGAAGATTTCCCCCTTCGTGATTGGCATTCCGGTATAACCTTTCTCCGGCAGGTGTTGCGGTCATGTGAGAGCGAGTCATTCCATCTACTCATCACAACAACTTATCTGCCTTGTCTAGATATATCTTCACGGAGCTTGGAGAAGAGCTCTGTTGGCCTAATGAATGAATGCGTATCTCCTCAATAGGGGTTTGGGGTCCATAAGTCCCTCGACCTTTCATGTCGCACAGACCACGCGACTTGTTCAACAGCTCGAGCCGGCGCCTGGCATTCGCTTCTCAGCACGTAGAGACATTCTTTTAGGAGGAAGCCAAGATAATGCAGGCTTGATCTTTGATGATGAGGTATTTGCTCACAAGGCGGGAGTGAATGTGCTCGCCATCGATCACTATGACGGCCGATTGTATGTTACACTCATCCTGTGCCTAGCTCCAATTAACGGTAGACAGCATGGTCTCTGGGGGTGCAGATCCTTCAATTCATCTGTGGGATTTGGAGTCACGAGGCTCAGATCTGAAACATGTGCACCAGTCCGTGGCATCTGTCAACAGAGCCTCGCACGAAGATGCCCACACACGTGCCATTACTTCCGTCTCCATCTACCCATTTGATCCCACACCGTCTACTGTCTTGACAACCTCGTACGATGGCACACTCAAGCTTTCGGCTTTAGCGCCAGCTGCTATTACACCTGTGCACACTTTCAATCTAGACTGCACACCATACACCCATTCGCTGTCGTCAAATCCAGCGTCTCCTTTGCTCATTGCTGTAGGTACCTCGGAGAAGCCCGTCCGACTACTTGACCTACGTTCAGGTCTGTCGACACATGGTCTACCTGGACATGAATCTTCAGTCCTGTCCGTATCATGGGCTCCTCATCAGCCACACATCCTGGCTTCTGCGTCGGCGGATAATAGAGTCATTCTCTTCGACATCCGCCGGGGAGGCCACAATTCAGCGATCGCAGCACTAGACATGGATGATGCTGTTGGACTCGTGCGCCCGGGATCCACCCCAGCATCTTACCAGAGCCGCCCAGCATTCTCGCCGCACGCTCGAGCCCATAATGGCGCCGTGACGGGTGTGCGGTGGACGTCTACCGGTAGTCACCTGGTAACCGCTGGTCAGGACTCTCGGATTCGAGTCTGGGATGCTGGAACAGGTGCGAACACGCTTGTACACTTCGGTCAGCGTGTCCGGAACAGTGTGACTTCTCACCTGGCCGAAAGGGCACCGCTCATTATACCTCGCGGAGTGGTCACCCCTGGGCAAGAAACGCTCTTATGGCCAAACTTTAATGAGAGAGATGACCGTGGGGAGATCTTCATGTTCGAACTTCGAGAGGGGGCTTTTGTCAAGCTTCTTCGCGTACCGGGTCTCGTGACCGGTCGCCAGCAGTTCCAGGGCCGCTCCAGTGCCCTCAGCGCTGCCAGGATCAACGCCCTTGCTTGGCGCGGTAACGGTGCCTCAGGAGAAGGGATCGAGATGTTTTCGGCCCACGGCGACGGAACCATTCGCACCTGGGCCTCACGGGAACCCGAGGGTGAGCCGGATGATGAAGCCGAAGAAGCCGAACGAGCAGACCGCAAACGCAAGCGTGATGTTCTCGACGAGATCTACCGGGGATTCATAGGCTAACTGTACGATGAAGAACTCTACGAAAGGACAAAACATAGCACAGGATAGAAATATCGTTTCGTTCACCTATAATACATCATATTCATGTCGAGCATATCCCAGATATGCATATTTTTTACTCGTTCCTGATCTGATGCTCGCCAATAGCATCTTCGTCCTCCCCGGAGAACCGCTCGTAAGAACTGCGGTTGAGATTGGAGTGCTTCAGGTTTCTGGACTCGCCCTTGGCACCAGGGTGATTGGTGCCGATCAGGGTCCTCTTGGACTCGCCTTCAGCCGGGAAACTATCACCAGTTCCGGTGATGACTTCGCCTGAGGGAGCCATGTCTCTTGTGCTGCGAGGCATATCGGTGGCGTTGTCGGCGGCAAAGGCGGAGGTTGGGTGAGCGATACCGTAGTTATCGAACTGAGAGTCTTCGGAGCGCTGATCAGGGCGAGGAACGGAGGGGATTGTGTTCATGATGCCTGCATCATTGGGAATGCGAGTGCCCTCGGGAGCCATGTCCTCGAGACGTCCGCCGCGGTGAGGGTCAGAAGACATATTGAGTGGTATGGTGGTATTTGAGCTTGGTGAACTTTATGAGTTGAATTGAGTGGATTTGATTATTGTCGAGCTTGGTTAGCTTTGATCTGGATGGGCAAGAGACCACCAGGCCAAGTCAGTTTATATAGCTGATGAGTCGGGCTGGACTGACATCTGATGTCACTGTCCAGGCGCGGATGGAGTCTGGGCCATGATGAGGCTATGATATCAGCAGGGTCCCAACGTGCATCCGAGCGCAGGGAACCAGTCAATCGATGATGAAACATGCAAGGATCTATGGAATACTCCAACCCAAATCTAGCCGAAGATTCCATCGACTCCGGCCTTTCAATTTGGAGACGAAGGCAAATCACGTCAGTCCCTAAGGTACCCGCTATACGTTGCCATACTATCACCACCCGCCCTTTCAGCACCACCACATCATGTTTTGCAACATTACTGCCCATCTGACAGGTACGCCATTCACAGATGGTCTTTTTTCCTTTCCGATATCTGAATTGCCCCTTCAGCATCTTCAGCACTTTATTCTGAATAACGTCATCGCCATGGCCATTTCTGACTCAGCATGCGGAACCCTTCCCGGCCAGTCAGAAGGCGTCCTCAGGAACAATGGCTTTAAGCTTCACTTCAACAACCACCATCCGTGGAATGATACTTTATAGAGGCCCTATCTGTGTCTGCCTCGGTGCTCATAATATTATCCTCCAAATCAGCGATGCACAGTATCAGTTTCTTTCGGTCGCAAATTCCCTCGGTTAAACAACCAATGCGTCATCCACCTCACGCGGCGACCGGTTTTTGCTCTCCGTGCCAGTGTCGTGCAGCGAGGCAAGATACTACATACATACACGGGGTTATGTGATGGGGCGATAGGAGTTCAACATTTGGCACACAGTGCCAATCTCGTCAGTCGCAGCCTCGTCCCCATCACAAACACACTGCCCGCAAGCAGGAGAACGCCGGAGTAGACCTTCATTCCCCAGTAAGACCCGTCGTTATAGGCTAATATTGCCCCTCCAATGGACCCTGTTACAAGCCCCGCGATTGATGCAAAGAAAAAGTTCAGCCCAACCCAGTATCCAATTTCTCGTGGTGGGGCTATGGGTGCCACTAAAGCCACGAAAATAGTATAGTAGGCCCCCGACGTGACTCCAAACAGTACATCAAAACTGATGATTGCTGAGTTGTTGGTACCCGGGATCCAAAGCGCCAACACCAGAATACCGGAGCAGACAGTACTAGAGATAAGACTGTTGTATGCGCCGATCTTGTCTGCGAAATAGCCAGAAAAGAATCGCCCAAAGAGACTACGACGTACATCAGTACATGCATGGTATTATAAAGAAGTGGGGTCAGAAACACACCTTCCAGCATTCTGAATAGATACGAGGTACTGCGACAGATTGTTCTGCATTCCCACAGCCAATGACGATGTGACGATATAGTTACTTGGGACCCATATACCAAAGCTCAGCAAAGTGCCGCCGGCAAGAAGCAAGACCATATTCACATCTCGGAAAGGGTGCAGGAGGTTCTCTCGATTCAAAACCTCTGGGCGTGGAGGCACGCGCTCCCTTACAGTGAGACCAGCGATAATAAGAAAAAATAACATCATGAATGCGACGATCCGCATGGCCCAACCGAAGCCGACTTTGGGAATGAGTCGGTTAACCATGATTGGCAATATGATGCCCGCGATCCCTGACGAAGACGAGATGATTCCGTATGCCAATCCGCGCCGTTTGTTGAACCAATTAGGAATGACACTCAAGACTGGCTGCGCTATGGCGCAGAGTCCTATTGGACTACAGATGCCCTGTGCGAGCAGAACCTGATAGTATTTCGTGGATATAGAAGCCATCATGACCCCAAAAATATGAAAGAATGAGCCTCCGATGACGACTGCGCGCGGTCCAAAAGTATCACTCAGCCGGCCGACAATAGGACCCTGTATATCTCTCACACCATCAGTATGCAGAACATGAGATCCGATGAGCAATTTAACTTCTTACCAAGGCAAGCATGAAGAAGACTTCGAATGAAGGGATCCACGCGATCGTACTCGCAGGATAGCCTGGAAACATGACATTCTGGTAGTAGTTCTGGAACACGCCAATACCTATCGTCAAATTGATATGATTGTCAGTGGATCTGAATATCCCAATCTACTCATCCATCGTCCACACAGAAACCTACTATGAAGCCACCCATAACTGGAAAACATCGCACACCATCCACCCACCACAATCAGCCACGCTGCTGTACCACCATCAGGGACTGAGTCGTTGTGGTCGTCTCGGTCGTCGGCCTGCGAATCTGGAGTCGTCCGTCTAGATGGTGGAGAGGCGGACAGACACTCCTTAAACCTGCTGTGTCCAGGTTCTATCGTGTGAGTATGACGAGCATCTTGGACTGGGCTTCTTACTACCGAGATGGACATTTCGAATCACCGACCCTCTTCGTCATAGAAAGGTGATATGTTAGATGATAGAACTTCCTCCCCACGAACAAATCACATATATCACAACACATCGCGTCTGTCTCTAGCGCACTCTAATCAGAACATTTGCTGGCATCACCTTGAGATCAATTGGCTAGATTATTCTCCGACATGCATCATTAAGCTCATCAAGCACATATCATCACACCGTTAGAGCAATCGAAGCTTATGCACAATGAAGATCAGCGACCCTATACAGTTGGCACAGCGAACATTCCCAGACCTTCTTATACACGGTACAGTAGTCCGTCCATATTACACCTATCAGACCATCTATTACAATATAGTCTCTATCTATCTACTTTGGTAAAATCGAAAATTATTTCCCAGAAAAGCAAAACCGGAAATACCTTTGTCAGACAACCCAGATACGGTGTACCTGTACTAAACCACATCTGGACTCAGAACTCAAGATAACCTCCGACGCATGCATGCTGTAGCGTGCCAGATGGGATCTCATATACATAAGCCGATCTTGGCACGATATCACTAAGGTATAGTTATGTGGGTAGTGAGTGTAGAGGGATATAATAAATGGTTGGAGAATGGGTTCTCACTAGTCGTTCTTATCATGATATTCATCATCATCAAGCGCTGTAAAGCATCATCATGCTCTAGATAACTAACTACTTAGCGTTCTTGGGCCTGAGTGGAATTACTGCTGCTGCTCACCGCCAGTTCGCAGATGCCACATGGCTTTACCGACACATGCACGATAGTATGCGTTGAAGGTTGTTTCATGTAAGGAAACCTGGCTAGCTACAACCTTGATACCGATATAGTGGGTTGAAGGACAAGCTACGTGTACGTCTAAAAGTTGAAAGAACATCAAGCATGGTGGCATTAGATTCGAAAGATAAAGGTAACAGATACATGCAAATCAATTAATGCTGAAAGCGAGTGACACGGATTATGAACGAAGGGCATCCGAAATAGATGATTAGGCAAAAGAATGACATGAAATGTATGGGACATTCTCGGGATTAATAGATCCGCGGATGATTTGCTGCTGCATGGCTTTTACAAGATCAGGGCCAGAAGGGCGACCAGGCCTGTGACGATGGGGAAGAAGCCATGCGCCGGAGCCACCTGTGCGCCTGCGCCTGTGAACATGATGCTGTTTGTCGAAGGAGTAGGCGTAGAGGACGGTCCGGGCAGGTCGTAGCGGAAAGATGGCTCGGAAGCGACAGAGCCGCTGGGCTTGGGTGTGGGCACCCCGAGGCTGCTGGCGGCTGCGGCTCCACGGAAGGCTTCAGTGGGTGCAGGAACGTAGACAGGGATCATGTGGAATGTGGAGGCCTCTTGGATGGTGATAGTTGAGGCGATGCTGTCCAGGTTTCCGGGGAAGGGGGCAGTAGGGGCAGGGTCCATGGCGACGTTGGAGCTCATGGCCACGGGCTGCTGTGCTGCAGAGGATGCCGCGACGTCAGGTACATGCTCTGGCTCCGAGGGGTCGGAGTTGTACAGAGCTGATACACCAGTTGGATCGGCAATGGAAGCAGCGCCATTGTACATGGGGTTGGAGGGGGCGGCAGCTGGCGTGGACTCGGCAGGTGCGTTGTACATGGGAACGGACTCAATGCTGGGCCCGGTTGGCTGGGCTGGGGCATTGTAGAAGGGTGTGGACTCTGCAGCGCCTGCGGCGACTTCGGGTGCATTATAGGCGGGGGTAGATTGAGCGACAGCATCAGCGGCCCCTGTGAAAGGCTCGTTGAAGACAGGTGCCCCATGTCCTCCGTGTTCAGGGAGTCCAGTATTCCGACTCGGACCACCGCTCAATGTGCGGGTAACGGTGTGGACAATCTCGTGGACGACTGGTGAGGCGCAGCTTGAGCTTGTGTCAGCGTCCTTGGCCGAATCATCTTCGCCGGAGTGAGCAATGGGGTCGACTCCCACATCATGTGGTTTGCTGGAGTCATGTGAGTCATGCGAGTCGTGGGGTTCAGTTGGCTCATGATGAGTATCCACGTCAGTGTCCTTCACGTTGGCGGAGACAGAGTGGTCATCACTGTAAGCTTCATTGGTAGCCTGGCCGTATACATTGGTGACTGGGAGGATGGCGGAGTTCCCAGTGTCTATTCCAGATTCACCCTGAATGAGACTGTCGTCTGCGCGGTGATGGTGTCGGAGCGGCTCATCCACATGGGTTTTCTTAGAGTCCACATCAACGGAGTGATCATCCTTATCAGCTTCGTTATATTCAGACGAGAAAACATTCGTAATCGGGAGGGTCGCAGAGTTTCCTGTGTCAATTCCTGACTCGCCCTTGATCAAATCCCGGGGTAGATGTGGGTGTCCGTGGAAGCGTCCGTGCTCGGGACGATCAATTGCTGTATCTTTGATATCTGCATCCACGGAGTGGTCATCCTTGTGCGCTTCATTCTCCTGGGATGAGAACACATTGGTGATAGGAATGCTTGCAGAGTTGCCAGTATCAATTCCTGATTCTCCGTTGATCAGATCACGAGCATGGTGGTGGTCAGGGCGGCCATGGTGGACAGGCGCCCCCTTCACAGCTGTGTCCTTTATGTCGGCATCCACAGAGTGGTCATCCTTGCTAGCCTCATTGTACTCAGAACTAAATGCATTGGTGATTGGAATTGTAGCAGAGTTCCCGGTGTCAATGCCAGATTCTCCCTTGATCAAGTCGCGTGGGTGATGGTGGTGGGGATGGCCATGGACAGGTACTGGCACGGGCACTGGCTTTGGGTCTGGCTTCTCCTTTACCACAGTGTCCTTCGTGTCTGTGTCCACCGAGTGGTCATCCTTGCTAGCTTCGTTATACTGGGAACTAAATGCATTGGTAATCGGAAGAGTAGCGGAGTTGCCAGTATCGATACCAGATTCTCCCTTGATCAGATCTCGTGGGTGATGGGGGTGGGGATGAGGCTCAGGATGGTGGGCCTGCACGGGGACGGGCACCGGCTTGGGCTCTGGCTTCGGCTTCTCGACAAGCGTGTCTTTCACGTCAGCGTCCACCGAGTGGTCATCCTTACTGGCCTCATTCTCCTGGGATGCGTAAACATTGGTGATGGGAAGACTAGCCGAGTTGCCAGTGTCAATTCCCGACTCGCCCTTGATCAAATCCCGAGGCCAATGTCCGTGAGGGTGATGCACGGGCACGCGCACTGGAACCGGCTTGGGCTCCGGCTTGTACTTTACCGCAGTGTTTTTCGAGTCCACATCAACGGAGTGATCGTCCTTACTAGCTTCATTGACCTGAGATCCGAAGCTGTTGGTGATCGGAAGACTGGCAGAGTTACCCGTGTCAATACCGCTTTCGCCCTTGATGAGATCACGGGGCCAATGAGGGTGGGGATGTTGGTGCGAGGGTGTCTTGACAAGGGTATCCTTATCCTTGACATCTGCGGAGTGGTCATCCTCAGATACTTCATTGACTTCGTTGGACCCCAGGTTTGTAAAGGGTAGTGAAGCCGAGTTACCGGTGTCAATGCCCGACTCCCCCTTAATCAAATCACGTTCATGATGATGGTGAGGGCGGTGCTCAGGCCGTGTAACATCAGTATTCTTGACGTTCACATCTGCTGAATGGTTGTCCTTGTATGACTCATTGTCCGTGGAGCTGAAGGCGTTGGTAATCGGAATAATTGCTTCATTCCCGGTGTCAATCCCAGACTCTCCGGAGATCAGGTCGCGAGGCCAATGGGGATGGCGGTGCGGGTGGGCCTTTTTGGTGACATCGGTGTCCTTGACATTGACATCCGCGGAGTGATCGTCGTCATAAGATTCATTGTCTGTAGAACTGAAAGCATTTGTGATAGGGATAATAGCCTCATTGCCAGTATCGATCCCAGACTCGCCAGAGATAAGATCCCGTGGAACATGGGGGTGTGGGAATTTGGGCTGGTCTGGGTGGTCGGAGTGCCCGTGGTGCGCGTCATCGAACACGCTCTTCTTCTTGTCCACGTCCACAGAATGGTCATCCTTGCTAGCCTCGTTCACCTGGGAGCTGAACGCATTGGTGATTGGCAAAGACGCACTATTCCCGGTATCAATTCCAGACTCCCCATTGATCAGAGTGGGTTCTTCACGTTCCCCGCGAACATGGTGGTGCGGCCGGTAGTGCTTTTCAGGATGTCCAGGCTCAACGACGGCCGTGTCGTCTTTGTTGAAATCAACGGCGTGGTTATCCTCGGTTGCTTCGTTATAGTTAGACGAGAATCCATTCGTGATGGGCAGTGATGCAGAATTGCCGGTATCGATGCCAGACTCCCCATTGATCAAGGTTGGTTCTTCACGTTCACCACGGGGGTGGTGGTGCGGCCAATGGTGCTTTTCCGGATGCTCAGGCTCGACGACAGCCGTGTCATCCTTATTAACATCCACTGCATGGTTGTCCTTGCTCGCTTCGTTATAGGAGGACGAGAATTCATTGGTGATCGGCAGGGTAGCAGAATTTCCAGTATCAATGCCTGACTCCCCCTTGATCAGGTCGTCGCTGCCTCGCACCCAGTGGTGGTGCTCCGGGTGCTTCGCGTGCTCCGGGTGCTCCTTGTCCACCACAGTCTTATCCTTGTTGATATCAGCAGAGTGATCATCTGAATGAGCTTCATTTACGTTGGAAGAGAATCCGTTCGTAATGGGCAGTGATGCAGAGTTGCCGGTGTCGATACCTGATTCCCCGCTGATCAGGTCCTTGTCGTCTCGCACCCAGTGGTGACCGTGAGGGTGGTGGTGCTTGTCCTCGTCGACAACCGTCTTGTCTTTGTTGATCTTAGACGAGTGGTCGTCGCTGTGCGCCTCATTGACAGTAGACGAGAAACCGTTCGTCACCGGCAACGATGCAGAGTTGCTTGTATCAATTCCACTTTCGCCACTGATCAGGTCAGGCTCTGACCGACCGTGGTGGTGTGGGCGGCTGTGAGTCGCACCTTTCACAGCACCCAGGTTCTTGTCAACATGGACGGAATGGTCACCCTTGTGAGACTCGTTCACTGTGTTCGACTTGACATTGATGTGCGGGTCGTAGTAATGTTCGTTGTCATTTCCATTGCCTTTTTGGTTGATTTCCTCCCTACGCCAGTGGTGGCCGTGGTGAGCATGCTCATCCACGAACTTCTTCTTCGCATCAACATCAACCGAATGATCGTCGGAATGCTCCTCATTCGCAGTGGAGCTAAAGCCATTGGTAACCGGCAGCGATGCCCCTTGTCCACCATCCACACCACTTTCTCCCGAGATAAGTGTAGCCTTGGCCATGCTGGCGAGCATGGCAATGCTGATTCCGCTTTGAAGTACCTTCATGTTGTCGGAAGATTACAATCGTAAAAGTTATTTCGAAAGGATAGAATACAGGGACGAATAGATCTTTATCAACGAATGACTTCGGCCAAACGGGCCAAGGGAAGATCAGTTAGAAGGAACGTAACCAAAGACTGACCGAATAAAAGAAAGACCAGGCTCTGGCAGTTTGGATAACTCGTACAAACAGTATCACAGGACCTTGTTGCACCTTTTATTTTCGATCCCTTCGGCGGCCATTTCCTTTGGTATGCGGCCGTCTTACAACCACTACAACAAACAAAGCTCGCCGGACATTGTTTTGACCGGAGAATGCCTTGAGGAATGGTTCAGACCAGGTCCTGTGGCCGATGGGCAGAGCATCATCAGCTCCCGTCGTCGCAGGAGACACCATCCCATTGTGCCGTCAGCATTCCTGGGGAATGAATCGCGCGGAAAACAGGGGACTGGAATGCCTGAACCACGTAAAACATCAGATCGTCATCGCTTGCTTTGGGGATGTCTAATACTGCCCGGCTGATGAGGAACGTTAGTTTACTTTGATGGTCATTACGCCATCGACACCTGCAGACAGCTTAGGGAAAGGTGAATACTGTATGTAATGCCAGCCAGTTCGGCTGTCAGTTCGGACGCCGCGTCGCGTGGCTTACTCCTGCCCGCATGCCAGACTCTCCGCGGCAGCTAGCAAATTTTCCCCCTGCCTTCAATCGAAGGTTCATTTAACAGGACTGTGGCGTCTGATATGTTCTCAATTCGATGAGTCGACTACTGATATTAGAATTTATGCAGGTGTACGTTGATTCGTCGATCAATTAAAAAAGTTTTTTATTCAAATTTATTGGTGTTATAAATGAGATGTATCCCGTCATCGACATTCACCCCTCATCGCCCTCACTGAAGAGGACCCAACGAGAGACAAACTTCCTATCAAGGAATATTACTCTCCAGAGCCGATCAGTCCGTAGACCGAAGGCAACACGTCGCCGTAGAGAAGGCTGGACGACGGTCGTGGCAGGCTCTGTTAAAGCTTTTCGATGTATGTAGAAGAAAGAAAAAAAGAGGAGGAAAGATCGTCGCTGCCGCCCGCTTTTTGTAGTTCGTGTGCGTCACGTGAGCACTCCCGCTTAGCTTAGTGTCAATTCACTCAGGCAGCCAGGCACCCGCATCTACCACGTCAGGCACCAACTGCTTCCGCATCAATTGCTCCTCTCTCGATATAGGGAAAGGTCTATCATCAAAGCCCATCCATTCAACGCCATACCTGTAATCACAGCCTGAAGCGTGTGTCATGGCAATTTATGTACAAGTGCTCCCTGCCATTACACTCACATGTACACAGAAGCTCAACCCTCCACCCTTTGCTACCCTTGCCCAACCCTTGATTACATCCTTAGCCCATGACGCCTTGTTTGTACCGCAGTTCCAGTTCGCCCGAATCACGCATTGTGTGTCTGGAGCGATTGCTGAGAGAACCTTCAACTCCCTAGAGACAGATCTGGCTGCCACACTTCCCACCAGATTGACCACCAGCCACCCACCTACCCCCCAATCACCACCTGCTGGGTATCAGACTTCCACACGGCCCCTCCAACAGCAGCAGTAATTCCTAGCGCGATCGCAACCATGGTCCCAACTGTCACGACAGCAATCGTCGCCTTGACCGCCATGCGTTGCTTGCGGCTCAGTCTCTGCATCCATCCGCAGCGTCGCTTCTTCTGAGCCCAGAGCTTCGACTCACGGTGGTTCGCGCATTCCACTGGCTGTCGGTGAACCGTGGGCGGGTCTTCGGGATCAAGGGGGCTGTATCGTGTTGTTGTCGCTTTGGCGGCCTTTTTCAGTCGGTCGATAGTTAGTGATGGTGTGGCATGGCGATAGAATGGTGAGGATGGCTTTGCTCCATCTGCTGGATTGAATTCCCCTTGTTGTAGTTCGGGAGTTGATGCGATGGACGCGGCCTCAGGGACTGTGGGGAGAGGAGTTGATCCAGATGCAGTGCGTCTCTCTTTCTGTATCAGTGGATGATCTGTCGACTGGCTGAGTGGACTCGTCATATTCATGCTGCTTAGGTAAAATGCGGCTGTAGAGATGTAGTTACTCCTGACGCAAGTGATGCTAGATCCGTGGAAGGATATCAGTTAACGTAAACAAGAGGGTAAGTGTTGATAACATAGGTGAGAGGGGTTTTAGTGGTAATGATATGGTTGAGGGGTTGCGAAGGTTGCGCCCCCTGGCTCAACACCTTGATGTTGGAAGGGGTTGGCCGATGGTGGCTTCCTTGGGGGTTGTACATCCACAAAAATCAGGGGGATTGTCCCACCTACATATGTACACCACAGTCTGCCCCTCTAGATATGATTAGACGTCTTGGAGATTTCTTATCGACATGACATTTCTTGTATTGTGAAGTTTGGGTGCTGTTAGAGAGGTATGGTAGCACTTCCAATTGGTGTAGTTTGGCTGGATTGCTGGGGGAATGGGGGAATCTTAAGGCCTGGAACGTGGCCACGGATGCAGGTCATCGACTGATTCACTGCTTGTAGAAATGCATCCACTCTAAGCTATCAAAGTGGTCTGCTCAGATGGACTTGCTTGCTTGTAGACGTATGATTCATGAATGTCTCCTGAAAAGCTAGAGATAGAATTATTCTAAACCAGTGATTGAGTGTTCGTAGTAGCACAAAGTTGTAGTGGTGGGACAGTCATAATATGTAATTGCAGGTCATGCTAGGGAAGATATATATTTTTATATGGACTTGCATCATTCGATCACTTCAGGAAAACTTGCTGCTATACTACTAGAGAACCGTCAGACCAACATGAATCATAGCTCCCCCATACTAGTATTACAAAGAAGAGAGTTTCGCTCCACAGTTGAATCGTTCTATCTTAATTTTCGTGTTCAGCTACTCTTGGTGATGCAGCATAAATATCAAGACGCCTTCCAGCGGGACGTTCTGACATCACATATAATGCTCCTATTCCTTTTTGCAGTGAGTGTCTACTATTCACATTAGAGTTTATATTATTATTATGAACGGGCGATCTTCTTGTTTAAAACCAAATGTCCAATATTTGCGCGTTCTACGGATTTCCTTGTCCGATTTCGATATACCACATTAGAGGACTATGCCAAGCAAGAACTGCCCACCTTTCCATGGCCCAGGATAACATTTCCCAGAGAAGCTCTGATCCAAAATAGACCGCCCTTCAGTCGAATCCTTCTAATGTCGCACAAGCTCAGAAACACAGAATCCCATTGCCACCCGGATCTAGGCCCCGTTGCCCGGGTTATCGGCACATTCCTTGCCAGGCATGGAATGAATAACCAAGAATGGATGTCGGACAGGGATGAATGGTCAAGGTCATTTTGGAAATTAGGGGTCTCGTGTATTGGATCGGAGGTCCCGCGGATGACCCTGGATGCTTTCATCCCTTCGCCCCTGTCCTCCCTTTCTTGGCTATATTAGGCTCGCTCATTATGAGGTATTATGCCAAAGGCATTCCAGCTACTTCAGATATTGGATGCATACGGAGTGCTTTTAGGAGAGAGATTTCCGCTTCTGGTCTTGAGACCTTGATTTCAGACATTGTAGTTAGTCTCGCTAGTGGAGGTCAACGAACAATCAGTCTGATCACCTGGTTTCCAGACTTGGTAGGGATGATGTTCTTGATGAGTAGAAGGAATTGCGCACGCATGGATCTTTCAGTTGAGCCAACTTTGGGGCTAGATAAAAAGAGGTCGTGGTTTTACCATATTCATTAATTTATCTAGAGTCAGTCTCAACGTAGCGCTTCGTTGGATTTAACTGCTCCTACCAACTCTGTTCAACGATGGAAACATCCAAAAGGGGAACTTAGAGTTCAGTCGCAGTAGTTAGTTAAACCATTCACTGACTACGGAGTACTCCAGCATTTATTTCAGACTGAACAACTGAAGTTATGCTTGACATTATGCATGATATAGTAATCAGACTCTGTGCTTGCACTGTTTCACGTGATCACGCAAGATGCTATGCTATCTGCAAGCTCTGCTACGAAGAAAGCTGCTTTGTCATTCACGCATCGATCACGTCTTCCATGGAGCTACAGAATAGCTGCATTACATACTCAGCTTTGACTGTCATAATAGCACATGAATTTGGAATCATGTGCAAGTCACAATCAAGCCACATTCAGACTGATATGTGGCTATCTTTTCCTGAATGGGAAACCCACTTCACCCTACCCGATTGGGGAATACACCCTACAGCTCCAGCCTGCATGCATCGTTTTATACGTCGAATCAGTGACAGACAACACATTTATTCTATATCCGTATCTAGCCCAACGCCGACCTCTGGAAAGCACCAAATCATCAATCATTCAAGCAGAAGCACAATGTCCACCATCCACTCTCAAATCCGTACCCGTCATAAACCCGCTGCCGTCAGCAAGCATATATACTGTCGGTGCCTTGAAGTCTTCTGGGACACCAAGACGGCCTAGTAGCGCACCACGCATCCAGGTCTCCTCGACTTCGGGCTTCTCTTGAAGCAGGGCATCGGTCATTGCCGTGCGGATGTACTGGTTGCATAGTTAGATTCGCGTGTATTATTCCAGTGATCATGATACATACACCTGCGGATAGAGTGTTCACACGGATGCCGTACTGACCCCATTCCTGCGCCACCGAGCGGCACATTTGGTGCACGGCGGCCTTGGAGGAGTTGTATGCGGTGCAAGTCAATCCCTATCAACCACGTTAATTTAGATCAACACACCAATGGACCGAAAACGAACCCGATTGGCAATTTGGCCCGACATGGAAGCAATCATGACAATGCTGCCTGGGATGTTCTGCTCCTTGAAGATGCGGGCGCAGTGCTTCGCGGGAATAAATGTTCCGATCACGCTGGATAGTCAGTTGCTGTCGTACGTCTTGGAGCTTGGTATGGTCGCTCACTTCACATCCAACATCTTTTTCCACATATCAACTGGGTATTCCAAGGCAGGCACCATTTGTTGAATACCAGCACAGGTCACTGCTCCGCGAAGGGGCATACCCCGGCTCATTGCATCGGCGGCAACTTGCTTGAGGACCTGCTCCGTCGACTGCTCATCTGTAATGTCGCACTTGATGTATGTGGCTTTCAGGCCACGGGCCGCAGCCAACTTCTGCACGGAGGCCCATTCTTCTGCGCTAGGTTCGGGAAGAAGGTCAAGACAAACGACATCACCGCCAGCTTCGACGACGGCACCAGCAAGGACAATTCCAAGACCGCGGCCTCCACCTGTGATCACGATTGTGCGGTTACCGAGGGAGAAGAGGTCATTTGTACGGCCGACGACGGAGGGTTGGGCGGACTCTGAAACTGCGGGAGTGGTGTGGTCAATGGCCACCTCCGGGGTGGTGTTATCGATAGCAATTGAGGGAGACATGGTGAATCGATCTGATATTAAGGAACTGAAAACTTTGGAAATCTACTGGCAAGGGGAGGTACTACGGCTGTTCAAATAACGTGGACGAGCAGCTCATGAAAGCGCTTAACGACAACCCAACTAGGAAGATCCTGTCCGATCTGCTGTGCAGACACCTCATGCTTGATTCAACACTTCTCTTAGGATTACTCTTCGAACAGCTGCAGGCGTTGATCGCATAGGTAACGACAATGGGGCTTAATACTTCCCTTGTGGGAATTTCGCGATAGTCGGCCTTGGAACCATGGCGCCGGCGGGTTGCCGGAGTCCAGCCAAGGTGGGCCCGGCAGAGGCGCGTAATATTACCGCATCCGGCAACTGTATAGGCAAACGTACGATGCCCTATCCCGGTCCCCACCCGGTTCTCGTTTAGCGGGAAGGTCAAGTTTGGGGATACAAGTTGCCCATCTGCAGAGGGCTCTAAATTGAATAGTTGTGCCAGGCTTCGCCAACTTGAAGTTGCTGGGGTCGGGTTAGTATGGGTCCAGGCATGGCGTGGTTATATCAAAAGATATGTCCATCTAATTGCGAATATAGCCGTCTAGCCTCGCAAGGAACCGACAGAACTCTAATCAGCGGCTACCGTAGAAACTTCCCGGTCTGCGTGGTCCTCCACACCAACCCCGGTTTTGCCCTTCCGACCCCCGCAATCCGCAAAGCATGACGTCGGGCCGTCCATCGGCGGTTACATGCCCTATAAAAGTAGATGGAGCCCCTGAATGGCGCCAGCCCTAATCGCTATGCCTGTCTTCATACGTGTCTGAAGAGTACAGAAACATGACTATTCTTGTTGGAAAGCCCTTGTCATGGGCTATCACCACCACTGCAGGAAGTGGGTTCCTGCTGTGCGTCTCCTGCATCCCTTTCACATTGCATGAGTTGACCCTTGCTTAGATTCGGCTATGATCAGGGTGTCATGTCTGGTCTGTTGACCGGGACAGCCTTTACTCGAACCTTCCCGGAGATTGATACCACCGCAACGGGACACGGTAGTTCGTCATTGCAGGGGACGGTGTAAGTTATTCATAGGATGTGTACTGGGATGGTTTAGTTATAGCTGACGTGGTCAGCACTGCCATCTATGAGATCGGATGCTTCTTCGGGGCTATCATTGCCCTACTGATTGGTGAACGTATCGGTCGGCGGTGGTGCATCATAGCTGGCTGTATCATTCTTTCAATCGGAGCTGCATTGCAGTGCAGTGCGTATAGTATCCCTCACTTGATTGTGGGCCGGATTGTGGCTGGGGTTGGGAATGGCCTCAATACTAGTACTATCCGTACGTTGTGTTGGGATATGAGATAGATGGACGAGGCTAACGATGGTAGCGGTCTGGCATTCGGAACTGAGCAAGGCAGCGAGTCGTGGAAAAGGGGTGAGTGGAGACAATGAGTCGTTTCTGATACCGTTCTAACAGCTGTAGCTTGCGATTGAGCTATGTATCAACATTTTTGGCGTGATGACGGCATACTGGGTTGGTGAGTATGCCATCTACTACATATGCTGAGCCAGGGCTGACGGTTAAAGATTACGGAATGAGTTACGTGGTCAACGATGCGCAGTTCCGCTTTCCTATTGCCTTGCAGATTCTCTTTGCCGTAATCACCTTAGCAGGTATTATCGTGCTTCCCGAGTCCCCTCGCTGGGTATGCCCGTTCCTTCCTTGATGCGTAAGGAAGTATCACTAATGATAACGATGATAGCTTATTGCCCATGGCCGACACGATGAAGCACGACATGTCATCTGGGCCGTCCAGCCCAACGCCCGACTCATTGACGAGGACGACGCTGCAGTGACCGCAGACGTCACGGAAATAACCACCGCTATCGCTGAGGAGCGAGAGGCTACGCAAGAAGGGTCATTCAAGCTGGTCTTCACCAACGGCCACCAGAAGTTCTTCTACCGGACGCTGCTGGGAATGGGTGGGCAAATGATGCAGCAGCTGTCGGGTGTCAATCTGATTACATACGTGGGTACCTTGACTTTGAGAACAACGGAATCGGTGTCTGACTTGAGCAGTACAACACGGTTATATTCGAGGATTCAGTTGGCATGAGCCATAACCTGGCGTTGTTGATGGCTGGGTTCAACGGCGTGGCGTACTTTGCCTCGACATTTGTTCCTATCTGGGCTATTGATCGGTAAGTTCCATATGCATCATTGTATAGTCAGGTGGGTTGTTGACAATCTAGGCTGGGTCGTCGGAAATTGATGCTCTTTGCGGCGGCTGGGCAATGCGCATGCATGGCGATACTGGCGGGCACAGTATATGACGGTAGCCATGCATCTGGTATTGTCGCCACGGTAATGCTGTTTCTGTTCAACTTCTTCTTCGGTGTGGGATTGCTGGCCATTCCCTGGTTGTGTAAGTTGACCACCTTTTGGGCGGTTGTGGACCTAGCTAATGATAGTAGTGCCCGCCGAATATGCTCCGCTGTCTATCCGATCTCAAGCTGCGGCTCTCGCCACTGCTACGAACTGTACGTCCTACAATTTCCATGCGGAAATAACGAACGCTAATGATTGCAGGGATCTTTACTTTCCTGGTGGTGGAAATTACCCCAGTCAGCATCAAGAGCATCGGCTATCGCACGTATATCTATTTTGCTGGTAAGTCTATTCTCTCTCCGTTTAGCGATTAAAGCTGACATCACAGTGTTCAATTTCTTCTTCCTCCCCCTGATCTATTTCTTTTACCCGGAGACACGGAACCTTACCCTGGAACAAGTGGACCGGCTATTTACCGGGGAAAAGGTCCAGCTGCACTGGCACGCGTCGATGGGCGCCGTTGGGGATGCCAGCGAGCGAGTGGACGAGAAGACAGGCAAGGAGAGTGTTGAGCATGTAGAGTAGAGGTATATTGTGTATGAGTTAGATTTCCATGACCGATTGCAATGATTACTATCTTCAACAACATCCCTGAATGAATTCGACCGGCTAAATGCAATGTCTGGGGAAATCCCCGACTTTCCCCACATTCTCCCCGGCGGGTATCATTTCCCGATCAGGCAAATTTTCTCTCTTCTTCCCCCATCATTCCCCGCGATCCCACATCATCACCCATCAAACTTCCCTCTTCACAATTCCTCTATCGTACACAAATGACAGGGAATTATGGCTGAAGTATCACAACCTATCGAACTACAAACTATGCCTTGCGCCGATTCTCGTCATCTTCCGCGGAAACGGACCCGCACGGGGTGCGTGAATTGCAGCCGGCGCCGGCGAAAATGTAAGCAGCAAGCAAGCAATGGAGCTTGATAGCCACAATAACTAGTTACCTATCTAGTTAGATACCACTGCTCATTGCTGACTTACCCAGGCGACGAAGCAAAGCCAACGTGCACGGGTTGCAAACGGCGCGGCGACAAGTGCCAATGGCGCATGCTAGGGTCCTTCCGCGAGGCCAACATCAAGGTTCTGGAACCGGGGCATCCGTCCATGAATCAAACGGCCAGGGGGACTAGGAAACAGAGTAAATTCAAGGTTAGTTTTAGCTTCTTTGGAAATTGGGTGGGTGTTGTTGGCTTATGATGTTGCTTGGTAGATTCTGAATGTTGTTCCTTCTCCTTCCCGAGCTGCTGGAAAAGAACGGCAGCTGAGTCCGCCGGTTGATGAAGGGAGAGGGTCATCGCCTTCGGCACGATTGCTTCCAGGTAATGGTGAGGGTGAGGGTGAAGTGGTGCGGCCGGATGGTCTGGAGAATGTATCCGGAGCAGCACCGGATGCTCACCCGACGGTGCTTAGTCCTGGTTCTAATCAGGCTGTGTCGCCTCTTTCGCATCACAGTTTCCATGCTCAAGAGATTAATATTGGAAATGGTCAGTCACCTCATCAGGCGAGTGAGCTACCTCACCCATACCCTGATGAAGCGCCTCACCAGCCGTACATCCATTCTAGTCCTGAGTTTGTTGTTGATGAGCTCACTGCTCTGCGCAACCTCTCCAATAATGCGGGACACTTTCCTGGACCTGAAGTCTACCAGTCTATAACATCTCCATTGTTCGATCATAGCGTCTTTTCTGATCCGGCAAATTTGACAAATGATGTTTTCGTTCCGGGCTCGGCCTACGAAGCCCTTCATACCACGCTGCGTAATCGACAGCTGTGGACTGCTCGGACAGAAATCCCCAGTCGCGCAAGTACCCCGGCATCAGTGCTTGGATTTGACGCACCCACGCCGAACACCTCACGTCTACAGAGAAGCAGACGAGCTCAGTCCAGACCAGGACGGGACTTTGAACTGACACCCGAGCGCGAGAACATACTCTGGCAGAACTACCTGAACGAAATCTGTCTCTGGGTAAGTGATTCAGACACCCCGCCGGACAAATACTAATCCTGCAGCTGGACATGTTCGACAACCACCGACACTTCGCATCGACCTTCCCTCAGATGGCCAAGTCGGCGCCACATCTACGATATTCCATCCTTGCCCTGTCAGCACGGCAGATGGAGCGACAGCAGAACAAAAAGTCGCAATCAGAAAGTCTTCTCTTATACCAAGAGGCCATCCATCAACTTCTTCCGGAGCTAGAGCAGAAGACGACCCCTGTCATCGCGTCATGCGTCATTTTATGCGTCCTCGAGATGCTCAGCTGTATGTACCCCTCTCTTCCCCTCCGACGTCTCCACCCACTGACGGGTCTAGGCAACCCCAAAGAGTGGCGCCGACACCTTGACGGATGCGCCTACCTTATCCAAGCCGCGGAAATCAACGGCTTCTCGGGTAAAGAGGAGCAAGCGCTATTCTGGTGCTTCGCGCGAATGGGTTAGTTGCATCTAGTCTACCTACTTTATCCCTGTTCCTGGTGTCACCCCCCACACATCCTCTCAGATATTAGTAGACTAATGCACGACATACTGTTACAGACGTCTGCGGAGGTCTCATCTCCGAAGAAGAGACTATTATCCCGATCCACCACTGGATTCCGCGCGACATGACCCCCACGGAAGCATCCCAGCTCTTCCTCGCCTCAAACATGATTACCTTCGACACGTACGCCAATTACACTGTCTTCCTGTGTGCCCAGACATTAGGGGTGCTTTTCGGCGGTAGCAGCCAGTTACCAGCGTCCTGCGTGTCATGCAACTATCTCTCTAGTCCCAGGGAGGGCGAATCGTATGTGCAGCGGTGGCAGCGCCTTTTTGATGATGTGGAGCAGTGGTACGAGAACCGGCCGAGTCAGATGAAGCCGATTTTTGTCCTGACAGCGGGAGGGAAGACAATGGAGAGGGGCGATGGGGAAAGACCGTTTCCGACGGTGCTGTATGGGAACGGGGCTGCTAGTATGTTGCTTATCCAATTTCCTGAATGGGAAATTGGGGATGTATCCGTAGGCAGATGGCATGGATGTGTGTACTGACTTGTGGATTCCAGTTTCAGGAAACCAGCTCTACCATGCCTGTGCATTGCTTTTGCTGCAACGAAAACCAAAGACGGTATCCCTGCCACGGCGACCGGTGAGTCAAATTTTCTCTGTCTGTTTCATAGTGATGATTACATCCGATGGATCGGATAATTTCTTCCACTTGGGCATCTGTTTATCCTCGGATATACTTACTTACTAATACTGATACTAACAATGAGGTCTAGAAATCGGTGTTGTGGCACGCGCGGCAAATCTGCGCTATTTCCGCATCAAATACACATCAGTAAGTTGGCCCTTACTTTACGATATACTTGCTCTACGCAGTATGTCTTCAAAGTTTAGAAATAGAGTTAATGGATGGGGAATAGTGGCTGCTGGACCAATGCCCTGCAGCCGCTGTGGCTGGCTGGCAAAGTGATGTCGCATCACTCGGAACATACCGCCATTATTGAGACTTTGACGCAAATTGAGCGCGAGACGGGGTGGGCGACAGCCTGGCGAGTGGAAGACCTAAAGGAGTTTTGGGGAGATGAGGACGAGAATGTGGATGTGGATATGGATGGGGGGATGGATCTGGATTTGCGGAGTGAGAGGCCGAGAGGCAGCATCGGGAGTATTCCTTCGAGTCGGTCATGAGATGAGAGATTTCCACGATGTGGCATGAGCAGAGCAGAGTAGACGCAGCGCACAGTAGTGTAGCTCAATGCAGGCACGGGTCGGACGGGAGGAGTTTTTGGGGTTTGATGGATATCATTGGATTGATTGGGATGATCGAGATCGGGATCCACCAGGCCGGGAATGAGCGGGATGATGATCTTACCGAGACATGAATCGATGAATAGACATGAAATAGATAGTCTCTAGTTACACTGTAAATCTGAGCAGCAAAACGTCAAGAAGACATAATGTGATCTTCACCGTAAACCAACATTCTCGGATACTATCATCAACCTTCGTCAAAAGTTAAACAATAGACAGTCAAACCTAGACAGGAAGGACGATCCCCATAATCAAGGCAGGCAACCAAGGCAGTGGATCTCAGCTTGCAGGATTCAGCTTCAGCTCTTGCCCCATCTGTGCACTATTATAGGTCCAAACCACCGACTCCTCTCCAGCCGCAGCGGATCTCGCATCCTCCCAAGCACAGGTTCTGGTTCGCGCGTGCGTCCCGATCCGCTTCCACCATTCCATCCACCTAGCTAGCAAATCAATCTCCACCGTTCATTTCATTTCTCCATTTTCCAGGAAATAATCATTATCATACAAACCAAACACCCCCTTCTAAAATAATTCACAAAAAATCAACCCCAAAGAAAATAAATGAATAGAAAAAAAAATTACCAAGTAAAATCAAGATTCAGCCGCTACCCTTCTCAGCACAACCTCCAACCCTAGCACCTCCCTCCCCATTTCCCTCAACCCAGCCCCATTATCCTCTCGATCAAACCACAACCTCCAAACCTCCTCGTCATCCACTCCCGGAAACCTTACTGCCAACCACCCCTCCCATCCCTCCAGCGTCATTCGCGATTCGTCCTTCGTCCAGTCAAATGGCCCACACACCTGGCCCTCGCTCTCGGCCCGCCCACCCCAGCACACCTCGTGCGTGGTGACGTCCAGGAAGACCCAGCGTAATGTGGGCGGTGTCTCGCCTGTGATGGTTACCAGGCCGGCTGTGTTGTCGGGTGGGAATTGTGGGTGTGTGAAGAAGCCCCCATTGAAGGGGGTCATGGTGTTGGGGTTGGGGTTTTTGGTTATGTAGAGCTGTTTTGGTTAGATTCTTTTTCGGTTGTTTCAATGCAGGTACAGATTAATTCTGGGTAATGAAGTGGGTTTTCTAGGGTTGGAGCTAGAAAATGGGGGAGACAGGGATGGGTTATGTAGATGTGGTATGATGGTTGCAGGATGGGAAACATACTACTACCATCTCTAGGATGCGCATAATCCCGCAATAGGCATACCCAGGATGGAAGTAGATAGTGTAAAGAACGTAGAAGAGAAGGAGAGGAGACTTACTCGGTTCTCAGGACCCACATACACCATCGCATTATGAATCTGTTCGCGCTGTTCCGTCGTACCCTGATTCACCGAGCAGTTCACTAACAAATGACAGCGTTGTTTCCGACTAGATTCTTTCCGATTATCTTCGCTATCGCGCATGTTTTGACTCGCTTGGTTCAGACCGATCATGGTTGGGATCATGGTGGCCATCATGGCGATGCCGAGGACCATGTTGACTGACTGACTGACAAGTGAATTATGCTAGTGAGCGTGAGTAGGTGCCTAGCTAGCTAGCCAGGATGAACGACAAGGATCGGAGAGAAAATAATGCAAGCGAGATGGATAAGGACGGAAATAATCAGAAGGAAGAGGAGAAAAAAAAGTCAGATCGGCGCATTAAGTAGGGTGGATGGGGTGGAGTCGATGCAACTCGGTCGGAACTAATCGCTAGACTTGCAGATGGAGGAAGTTAATTTAGCTTTGCAAATGGGGTGATTTATAAAGTAGTTTAGGCGGAATCGAGGGCTTTAGTTGTGTCTGCTATTTACATGGATTCTTTTTCTTCTTCTTCTTCTTCTTCTTCTTCGGCCTATTCTTCTTCCTATTCTTCGTCTTCGTCTAGGTATTCGGAGTCCGAGTCTGAGTCGCTGTCCTCGACATACTTCTACTCGCACTTTTCCCTCGCGGATTCGTTTTGGAATTCTCATCCTCATCCTCGTCCTCTTCCTCACTTCTCTACCACCGTCAAGGAGAAAGACAAAGAACAAGAACAAGAACAAGAACAAGAACAAGAACAAGAACAAGAACAAGAACAAGAACAAGAACAAGAAGCAGTCAAATCCATTTACCAACCTCCTTCAATTCCAACCACTGAAGACACAATGGCCGACTCTTCCTCCCCAGGGTACGTCTCCCTCCTTCACCCTTCCCATTACCTCCCCCATCCCAATCTACCCTCATTCATCAACATCCCAGCATACCTACGTAGTAACATCCTCAATTCTCCAGCCCTACTTCCACTCCCACTACCAATCCCTCATCCACAACTACCCCAAAACCACCCTCCAAGCCCCCATCCCCTACTCCCCGAACTCCATCTGCTCCTGCAGCAGCATCTACACCCACCTCAATCCCCAAGCCTGCGTCTCCCACCTTAATCCCTACTAACACACCCCTCCCCACCAGCAACACCCCAGGCGGCAACCGCCGCAACAACCGCCCCGAAGAAGAAGCCACCAGTGCCGCCAGCGCCATCCTCCCCAACGAAGGCATGAAGGCCCCCGGCGTGACGGCTAACCAGGATGAGAAATCCAACCTAAAGATCAGCATTCACTTGAACTTGCGGGCTAAGGTGAAGTTGGATTTGGATGCGCAGTTGTATGGTGATATTGTTATTGGGTTGTTGTAACCTTGTTACTCTTGAAATGTATGTGGGATGAGGTGAGGGGGTGTGTGTATGTAAGGGTATTTTATGGATGAAAGTATGAATGAATGGAATGAATTGGGTATATGATTGGATTAAGATTCTTAACCTTAGTCTTCGTGTTGGGAGGTCGTAAAGAGATCGTATATGGCGGAAATGTCTTAATCTGATGGTGATAGTGATGTCAGATATTACTATCACTGAATAATTGTCGGTGGCAGTCGTAATGTCAAGTATTGATTTAAGCGCATTGAAATCAACTAGGGTGTCGCTAAAAGTAACAGGAACAATATACACAAGCAAGATACACACATTACCTGCTAAGTAACAGCATTAGTATATTCCCTCAACACCCCCCTCATAATATGCACCGGCGCTGGTCTCCCCGTAAACAGCTCATATTGCGCAATGCCCTGCTCCAACAACACCACCAGCCCATCAACCACGACCCAGCCCATACTCGACCGTTCATTCATAGCCATTCTCAGCTTCGTTTGTGGCATTCCATACGCGACCTATCCAGTTAGCACTTCTTCAAATATTCCGGGTATATCACACACATACATCAATAAAAACACCTCCAGTCGTACTCCGCAACCACTGCTTCGGTATCTCCATTGTAACAGGAGCCTTCAACTGTCCCCCGGCTGGCGCAGGCAAACACGCCACGATAATCGTCGGTTGACGGAACCCCGCCGGCCAGGAGTCATTGCCTGATCTTAAAACCTCGATCTGCAAACGGGTATCCTTCTTCTCAGCCCACCGAGTATAGTACTCGGCTAGTTTCTGCGCATTGGATGTAGTCCGATTATAGATGCACATCTGACGAACGCCGATCTGGTAGCATGCGTAGATAGCGGCGCGGGCCATACCACCTGCGCCTATTATCAATGCAGTTGTGCCATGTCGAATGGCATTAGCAGGGGAGAGATGCTTGTTAATGCAGTCGCGGATCCCGAGGTAATCTGTATTGTATCCTTTAAGAATTTTGGAAGAGGGATTGTTGGACCGCTGAATGACGACTGTGTTTACGGCGTGAATGTCCTGGGCATCTGGACTGACTTCATCCAGTAGGGTGAGGACGTCCGTTTTGTAGGGTAGTGTTACAGCCACTCCGCCGTGTTCAGTGCTGTTTAGGAGCTTGTGGATATTGGAGAATCGATCGCTGCATAATATGTCGTAAGTGTGTGGTAAGCCGCAGGCAGTGTAGGCTGCGTTGTGCATTGCTGGTGATAGACTGTTTTGGACTCTTTGGCCAAAAACGGTGAATGTTTGTTTTGTGAGTAGGTAGCATGAGCTAAGTGCTTGTTGGGCTGATGCGAGTGTGACTCCTATGTCACCTTCTGGTAAAGATGGGAGTATCACTGGTGACAGAATAGGATTTAAACATATAGATGCTCGGCCGAGTGGCCCAGTATGGTATGCGGTTATGGGGATGTCGGTTATCTCACCCAGCCGTTGTTGTAAATTCAAGTTGGTGAGATCGCCAGGGAAGTTGGGCTCAGAAGTAATGCGAAAAGCGTCAAATCCAAGCTCATCTGTCTTCTCCAGGAGAGAGCGAACTTCAGGAAAGATGCTCTGGTTTCCCGTCATAGATGTTGACTGATAGGTGGCAATGATCTTTGTGTGACCTTTGGCCAGCTTTAATCGGCTAAGGTCGGGGCTGTCGACAGGACACGCCACAACATCGGGCGCCAGGCGAAAAAGCATCTCTAAGAGCTCGCAGCTTCTAGAATTTGACTGCCGAGGTACCTCAATGGAGATTGGAACCCGGGTATGTTTCCGGATTGTCGCCATATGCTTGGCAATCCTTTCCATAAATCGACCATCATCAAAATCAGCTGCACCCCCGTCAATCACAAGATTAACCGCGTCAGTACCACTCTCCAGAAGTCCCAAGTCCGGATCACCTTCCAACCAGGTCAACGGCACCTGCAGCGCATATGTATGAGATGGTGAAAACGGGTCCGAGGAATAGAGCACATGAAAAGCGCGCCCGAAGACCTGATGTAAAAACCTCAGGAACACTCTCTCAGCCTCCTTGAGTTTGATATACGCTGGGAGTGGGCGACCAGCATAGTCAGTCACCTTCTCTTGTGTGTGATTGAAGAAGTCAAAGCTGGAGCATGACTGGAAAAACTCATTGCCTGCTTCAAAGATACGGTTGAACTTGTCAGGGCTGGTGGTCATGATGAACTGCTGAAGATCCACCCGGTCGCGTCTGACATACACCACAGGATGATTCTGTGCAAATTCCTTCAGAAGCACCTGCTGTTGGCGATTCGCTGACCATCCCACACCAGTGATGGTTATTACACATCCTGTAGAGCATCTCTCTAGCAACGAGCGAGTCAATTTTAGCTCCAGCTCCCGGTATCGCGCAGGACCGTTGTGCGCAATGTACTCCTGAGGAGATAGGTGCACCTCCTGGCGAAATACAGCATCAAAATCAATGAACCTGCGACGCAGCGCGACCGATGCAATGATGCCTAGGGTTTTCTTTCCGGCGCCGACGAATCCCACGAGTAGCAGGGTGGCGTCCGCACTGTACCGCCGGCAAGGGATAGATACAAGGCGGTCGCATGGTGTCAAAGGGGAGCTGAGACTAGACATTGAGCCTGCTATGATGGAAATGCTCAAATTCCAGCATCTCGAGTCATTGCTGGCTACTTCGGCTGTGGCAAAGTGAGCGGACGAACTGGACAGTCAAAGTGAGACCGCGTAAATTCCTTGCCGATCACATGATCTCGACTGAAACTCAACTGCATCACCAGAAGATGCATCTTGAAAAGGGAGAAATCTTCGGATAAATTCAGTAGCCGCTAATAACGGCATATGATATGCCTGAATCTAGGCCATCGAAGCGCCAGCGCATCGCTCGCGCCTGTGATCAGTGTCGGCGTCGCAAATCCAAATGCGACGGAGACCAGCCAGTCTGCGCCATCTGCCACTCGGCTGGCAGGACCTGCACGTATGAGAACATCAGTCGGCACCGGGGATTGCAGTCGGGATATGTTCGCAGCTTAGAGGTGACTTTGGGGCTTTTCCTCGAGCGATTCCCTCGCAATGAGGATGTCTTGCGACGCTTCCTGCGCGACCCTCAGTGCAAGGCGCAGCTACCGGCGAGTGAATTGGCAGAGCGTGGGCGACAGTCCAGGCTGGCCAGGTACGTGTATCGAGTGCTGAATCCAGACTCACAGGATGAGTCGAGTAGCGAGCTTGATGATGTTACAGAAACTGCATCACCAGGATGCGACATTGATGAAGGGGGAGGAGAGGAAAGAGAGGGCATTGCCCAGGAAAGAACCCCTGGCAGGCACGGGATATCTGAGGCTGTCTCAGTGGAATACCTCACAGAACCCATCCCGAGTAATGCCGATCAGCTGCTGCAGTTCTATTTTACACATATCCACAGCTGGCTTCCTATCGTCGAGCGTCGGGACGTCCTCCGCGTCCTGCACGCCCCTCCAGATACGTCATGGTCGGCTCGAGACGCTGCCTGTCGTCTAGTGTTATGGGCCATTGTCGCGTATTCATCAGCAATGCATGATACACTGGGTCGGGGCAGCCAAGTCGAGCCAACGCAAATTGCTCAATCTATCCGATTGCAAGTCCTGAGGGACATTGACCGGCTGCAGCTTGGCCATCTTCAATCTCTGTTGATCGTCACCCTCCTTTACCTGGGGGTGGGCCATCTGCGTCTGGCGTGGGTACTGGTTGGTGAAGCCACAAGGATGCTCGAGATGCTTCCGGAATCTGTCAGGTGCGCTCGCTACATACACATCCGGCATGGATGCATCTTGATCGACAATCTTACCTCGGCAATCCTGGAGAAAGCTCCCTGTGCCTCGCTTGATGATTTGCGACAGTGTGCCTTAGTGAGCGAGGATGATGTGGACGAATGGGAGCTGTGGTCTATGATGCGACCGGACCAGGCTTCGGGAGGCAGTGTAGTCACAAAAGGCCCCTTGCGAGCTCTAAGCAGTCTCAATCTTATCCACGAACTGATGCGATTTCTTACTCAGATACTCTACTATCCATCTGGGACCCTCCCTATCCAGGAGCTCATCGTTGAGCTACGGAACTTGCAAGACCTTGTGACGGCCAGGCGGCCTTATCGTGGTCTTGAGTTTGCAAGCCCTCCTCTTCTTACGCTACATCTAACCACAGCCTTCGTGGTATTTTCTCTCGCGCTGAAGCACAAGACGTTCGATCCGGCCATCAAGCCGTTGGCCTTGACTAGCTTGCGCTTTACTCTTGAGATACTAGATGCGTATACAGAAGTCACTGGGATGTCGGGCTCATCTCCGCTGCTTCGCTGCTTTTCCTTTCAGGCCTACCGGTGTCTACAGAGTGCTCCTAGCATGTTAGGGCCGGGAATGGAGCAGCTGAGCAGTCGACTGATCAATCATATGCAGAAGCTCAAGCGAAGTAGTGAGGGTGGCACTCCAAGTGAGGCGCTACGTTTTACATGGTTGCCCGTCGGGAATCATCTTGAGTGGCCTTACATGCCAGTGCCACGACACGATTCCCAGAGGCCTTTGGCGCCTGGAGGCACTCTCTACGGTGGATTTGATCTTGCCCATGGGAACACGGTGGTAACAGACCAAGTAATGGCCATGCCCGGCTTGCCCACTACTTCTGGTGTCATGGTTGCTGGAAATGAAAGACAGGCTCAGGAGCCTGAAGACTTTGATGCTCTCTTTGAGGAAATGGTGGCTTCAATTCCGCAAACCAGGTATGTCGGTATTCCGGCTCTTGTTAATTCGTACTAATCATTACAGAAACGAGCCCACATTTGCCGAGAACTTGGGGTTCTATGCAGGAAATCTAGATACAGACTTCCTTGCTCAGCTGCAACATGTCCCAGACAATGGCTGATGTCAACTTATCCATCATGATCGTAATTATAGATCTAACTCCTTGGCCAACTTTTGCCAGGCCTGGATGCCTCGCTGAGAATGACTTTGCGGCACGGTCGGATCCGGATCCGCCATGGTTCTGGAGAACAACTCCATCGATACCCATCCTTCGAATCCAAGCTCCTTCAGAATAACCCGAGCCACCTCAAATACCGGGAGATATCCACCTTTGTCCTGTTCATAGAGGAACAATCTCGCGTTGCGGCTCCAGTTCATGCGGGCCGGCTGGCCATCGACGTGGAATGGGTGGCCTGGGACCAACGGCTGCTCCATCTTTTCTGCATCGACAACCTGAACATAAAAGACCTTTTTTACGTCGATGGTCTTGACCAGACGATCTAACGACTGGGCCAGCACAGCATCTGCGTCAGGGACCTTTCCCGAAGGACTGGCGGGATCAGCCCATACCCGACCGGCGATGTTGAAGGTATCCAGACAACAACCAAAATTGGGGCGATCCACCCGTTGGATGATTTCCCACATAGTGTCCCATGTTGAGACATAGGTACCCCAGGCGAGACTCTCGTATGCAAAGCGAACTGGCGGCTCTTGCTTCAGGCCCAGATCGGCCACCTCGATCATGTCGGAGATGATAAGATCAAGGTCTCCTGAGATGCCATCGGGCTGAAAATTTGACGGGATTTGGATGATATCGGTGCCGAGGATCTTGATAATCTTGAACCAGGTGTGAAGTTTGGCGATTTTCTGTTGGTGGACATCTCGATCCAGCAGGCCCTCATAAAACATGAACGGCTGTAAGCCAATCACTTCCAGGCCGTAATGGTTACAAATGCCCTTGGTTTCTCGGGCGGCAGCTAGGAGATTCTCTTCTGTCGGTTCTCCCTTTTCTTTGGCAAGGTATTCCAGGTCTTCGTAGAAAATCTCCACTCCTTGGAAGCCGGCCTGGGCGATCTGGGAGAGCTTCTCGGGGAGAGAATGGACCCAGGCACGGCCCACGGACATGGAAGCGATGGCAGGTTTGCAGGGCATGATGAATTGAAAGAACTGACAATACAATGTATGTGATATTCAAAGCGTAGCATGAACCTTGGGTGTGCATTTATATGCTTTCTATCATACGTCAGGCCCGGCCCACACTGAGGTCATCGGCAATGCCCTCATCCGATCCCTGTCCCTGCAATCCACCAACTCTACTCTTATCCTCTAGAAGTTAATACCCGGACTCTCCTCTGCAGCCTTCCGCAGCACATACCACGCTCCATCCAGCGACAACTTCTGTCTCTCTTCTTCCCCGCACCAGAGCCGATACTGCTCTGGCATCTGATGTCCAATCACCTCCGTCCCCTCCACCGTAGCCCACCCACGCTGTCGCGCCATCTTCAGAAACCTCGTCTGTCTCGGCTTGAAGCACATATCCAGCAACACCCCCTTAGTAGGAGCATCCAAAAACGCCTCCACAATGCGATGCACTTCCTTCTCCTCCGCTGTCACCGGCTCCGCATCAGGAACCGTCCCAACGATATACCCTGGCGCCGCCTTCTCCAACAAACCCGCAACCTGCTCCATCTTCTCAACATGAACCATCTTCAACCCCTCCCCATACTCCTTCTCCGTATCCTCCCTCAACACCCTAACCTCTTCCTCATCCCGATTCACCACATAAATAGGCGTACATCCCAATTCCGCATACAGCGCATACACCGCCGCGCGACACGCTCCCCCAGCACCCACAATAACCGCGGCCTTACCCCTCCCTTTCTCCTCGGGATCAGCTGATAGCAAGCACCCCTTGATCCCACGCCAGTCTGTATTCGTCCCGCGCAATGAGCCATCTTCTGCGCGATAGACATTATTGCACGCTTGGAGGCGCACGGCGTACTCATCTAGCCCGTCGAGATGCTCCATGATGGTGCGCTTATAGGGCATGGTTACCACCCCGCCGGCGAAGGTGGGCTGACGGAAGAGTGTCATGGCATCTTCAACGGTCGGGCATTCTTGCGCGATGAAGGTCCATGGGTAGCCCATGCTGTTGAAGGAGTAGTTGTGCATCGGGGGCGCGATGGAGTGGGTTACCCCGATGCCGACAAGGTAGGCGTAGCGCCGGGGGTCGGAAGTGGTGGTGGCGGACATGGTGCTTTTCGTGATATCTGATTCTAATTTCGATATTCTAAAAATTTGTCTGTAGAGTATATGACTGACTGCAGATAATATAGTAGACAGAAGGTCCCATCGGCTATGATCCTACCCGGCACGGATATCCTTTTGCCGAGCCCATCTTCTCCCCGGCTCTTCCCCGCGGGGTATCCCTGCCCTACTGACCTAGTATGAGTATAGTATAAAGTGAACTAACCCCTACCATCTACATCCGTACAATCACCATCCCTTTTCTCTCCATATATATCTATTACCCACCCAATCAACTCAGAACACGCAAAGTAAAACAAATCAATCATCATCAAAATGCCCGACCTCCACACCCTCCCCCCCAACTCCCGCCCCCAGCACGCCATCCGGAACAACGGCCCCCATCACCTGGCAATAGAACGATACCTTCTACGCGAACTCGCCGAAGGCTGGCCGTGCTACCGCGACGCCTGCGAATGGGAGAACTTCCGGTCAATCTTCCATCCAGAAGCGCACGTGTACACGACTTGGACGGGCCTCACGCACCACGATGCGTTTATCAGCGCCTCGCAGGCGGGGATGGACAAGGGTGCATTCATCATGCATCGCGTGCACGGCAGCACTACAGATATCAATCTTGAAGGAACGCGCGCCGTGACGAAGATGAAAGCCACTATTACGCAGCGGTTCAGTGAGGTGGAGTGTGTAAGTGGGGGAACGTGTGAGGTGGATGCGGAGAGTGATTGTCGGTTTATTTTCTTCTGGGAGAAGGTTGGTTCTGAGTATGCGGAGTTGAAGGGTCAGTGGAGGGCGAGGTTCGTGAGGCATTGGTATGAGAAGGATAAATTGGTGCTTGTGACGCCGGATCGCGTGCCCGTGATTGATCATGAGAGGTTGAAGGAGTATCCGGTGGGGTATCGCCACTTGGCGTATTTGCAGGAGGAGACGATGGGAATTAAGGTTCTTAGGGATTTGCCGGGACATAGGAGGGAGAAGGCAACGGGGAGTGTTAACGGTGAGAAGCATGATTTGTTGTATTGGCAGGCGAAGGAGTGGGTTGAGGGGGGGAATGTGGAGTGGGCTTGATGTAGATTACTGGTAGTATGTATGCTGGTGTATGTGTTGTCTTGAATAGATATTACTTGTTCATAACGTTTAAGGACTATCGCGTAGGTTAAGAGTTATATACACTGTACTGGAGTAGGAAGGCGAGATGCCCAACAATCCTCTTAAGAGCAATGCCATCTCAGAGTAGAATTCAAACCCACATATAGACATTCTATGAATCCGTAGCCGTGTCAATTTCCACTAGCTTCTTCTCCAGGATAAACATACACCCATCCAACAACCCCCATACTTCGGCTCCCTCCCGATGATAAACACATACCCTAGGCTATGATCATACCCGACACTCCACCACCACTCCACCACCGAGCCCTATATCAACCATCGAAACCACTTACGGTACCGTAATCAAGTTCAGTCTCATTATTCGTATCTAAATTTGTCTCGTCCATACACTGAAAATGACGCAGCCTCTTGTCTTCCACATCTTCGGCGGCCCCAACATCCGCGCCTCCTTATCCCCGACAATACACAACGCCGCCTTCACCCACCACCACCTCCCATACACCTACACCATCGCAGAATGCGCTTCCTTATCAGAAGTATCTCAGCTCATCACCTCACCCTCCTTTGGCGGTGCCAGCATCACCATGCCCCATAAACTCACCGCCTTCGAACACTGCACTGAAGTGAGCAGTTCAGCGCGTGCCATTGGAGCCATCAACACCCTACTTACTACCCGATCCCCGAACGGGAACGGAGCAGTTCAAGTAAAAGGCGACAACACAGATTGGTCCGGCCTCTACACCCTCATCACCGACTACTTATCTCAGCAAGGCGTACATTCCGGTAAAGGGACCGGCAGAGTAGGCCTCGTCATTGGGGCAGGGGGTGCCGCAAGAGCAGCCGTGTATGCGCTCTTACAGGCTGAGTTCTCGACGATTATTATTTGGAATCGGACTGTCGGGAAGGCAGAGGGTATTGTTGAGGACTTTGATACTCTCAAGGGTACTGGGAATAGGATTGATATGAGGGCTGTTGGGGATGTGGATGGCGTTGGACCTGTGGATGTGGTCATTGGGACTATTCCTGGGGATGTTAAAAATGAGGACTTTGAAGGGCTGTTTCAGGGATCTAAGACGGGGTTGTGTGTGGAGATGGCGTATAAGCCGAAAGTTACTCCCTTGATGAAGGTTGCGGAGAGGCGTGGGTTGGTGGTCCGCGATGGATTGGAGGTGTTGTTGAGGCAGGGCTTTGAGCAATATCGGTTGTGGACGGGGTTGGATGCCCCGGAGGGGGTGATGAGGGAGGCAATTGGGGAAAATGGATTGAAGTCGAAGGTTTGATCAGGTTTTAGCGTAATTGAGTTGTGGTGAGATTCGTTAGCATGAGATTATATTATCTTCGAACGATGGTTAAGAGATATTTTTTCCTGTATTTTCATGCTCTTCGCTCCTCGTCAGTGTCATGGCTGGCGGGCGTCAGGGCAAGGATTACTTACAGGAGGGCACCACGCTAACTGGACGCCCTCCTGGTGACAGTTCTCCACTGGGTTTCAAACCAGCCATTAGCAGGTTGGGCAGAGCTGCTGGCGCATGCATGTTCTCCAGACCGTCGCTAGTGTCCGTGGCACTCAGCCATGTCGTTCCTGCGCTGCCACAAGGCCTATCCTGGCACCTTTTCGAACAATTGACGCTCTCCATTTTCTATGTTCCGTAAGTAGAGATTCTTCAGAAGATTGTTGCTCATGAGATCTGCTCTCTGTTAGAGTTCTTGTAAATCTCCTTTGTTGGTCGGCCAAGAAGCCACAGACTTGCATCACGTAGGACGGTAAAATGCAACATCAGCCTCCATCTTAGGAGCATGTGATACCATCGTCAGCTTATTCTGACGCTTCTCGAGGGATTGAACCTCGTGGTCTTCGGTTCCCCGCATAGCCGGCCGAATATCACCTCATCTTCCAATCAGATGCACCCGAACTATCGGGTAGACTAGCGTGGCTCACTAGTACAACACCCTATAAAAGACCCTTCGATACAAAAGCCGTTACATGCCCATGCTAACTACCATCATCCCACCTTATACGTACCTAACATCGGTGCAAAAGCATACATAATGATCTGCACATTATCCCCAATCAACCTCTACAACCCCTCGGAATATGCCACCCTCCAACACCAACGCCACATTTGCGGCTGGGACTACAGCGACGAGAGCATCCTCGCCTGGCGTGAGAAACAAGACGCAGACTTGAAAACATTCTTCTGGATCATCCTTCCTGGCAAGAGTGGTGACGAACCCATTCGTGCGGGTCACATCTCGCTCGATGCATACGCATCCCCGCCTGATCCGGGACTTGCGCAGGCCGATCACTCTGTCTTGACTATTCAATCGTTCTTTATTTTGCCAGAGTACCGTGCTGGTGGTGTTGGTCGTCGAGCAATGCAGTTGGTGGAGGAAATGGCGGTGAACGACCCGCGATGTCAGACTGTTACTGTCAATGCATTGAGCAAAGATTACATTGAAAATGAGGAGAAACGAGCATTCCTTGAATCAATGAACGCGGTACCGGAGTTTCCGGCGGTGCTGTGGTATGAAAGACTCGGGTATGTGAGGTGGAAGACGGAGCCGAGATATCCGTATCAGTTGCCTCAAGGGGGAGATGGTATGTACGAGGCAGACTTTTTGAGAAAATCTTTGCGGTAGGAGTTGCGGCTGGATTGAATGTGTGGTGTTCTGTTGGTCTTCGGTATACTATTTTGGTGGTTAGTGTGGTGGTGAACTGAATAGGGATAGACTTATCAGTGTGACAGGGGAACGGGATCGATGATACGAAGTAGTGATGGACGAAGAAGGGAGATGATGAGAAGCGGTCTATATAAATAATCGTTCTGGAAGGAACACTATTGAAGATCAGAGCCATAATAGGTAGTTGCTGTCCCAAATGATATCATAACGCCCAATAGCGGTTGATCATTTGACGAGCTGTCAATTGACAGCTGCCGTTACCCCAACATAGCATAGATCTCACTCTGACGTTTCACAAATCGTGGGCAAAAGTAGTACAGGATATGAATAATTGAGTACACATTGAACACTGTCTTTGTCGATTATTCCTCATATCTCAGGTGTCACTATCATAGCTAGACTAACCACCATCACTCAGCAGTGACTCGGCGAGCAATAAAAGGACCAGTGTCCCCAGCCTTTCTGCTACCACTACTGCAAGAAAACATCATCAAACAGCTCAAGACCAAGCAGCGCAGACAATTCCCTCCCTCGCCGCCATCATGAAGCTTTCCGCCATTCTCTGCATTTTCGCCGCCACTATGGCCGCCGCGGCACCTACGAGTTGTATGTCTTCACAAGCTTGACCATGCTATGCAAAAACTGACATTTTCTAGACGCCAACCCTCAGGGGCAGAACCAGCCTCAGAACAACAACAATAACAACCAGAACCAGAACAACCGAAACCAAAACCAAAACAATCGCCTCAGCGCTGAAGAGCAAAAATACCAGCTCAGTGACAATAATCACAAGATTGGACGCTCCGAGGTCTTTTACCCGCGAGGATCTGGCTCTTCTCCCTCAGAGCCCGTCGCGCCTGAGTATTCTGAGCCTGAATTCCCGACGATTCACGTCCCCGAGCATGACTACCAAGAGCCCAAGGCTCCCAAGGAGGACTACAAGTCTGAGGCCTACCAGTCCGAGGAATACAAGACGGATGATATCAAGTCTAAGGGCTATCAGTCTGAGAGCTCCAAGCCTGTGATCCACCAGTCTGTAGACTTCAAGCCCGAAGTTCACAAACCTGAAGTCCACCAGCCTAAAGTTCACAAGCCCGAGGCTCCCAAGCCACCTGCACACCCCGTGAATCACGTCCCGGTCAACCAGCATGAATCTGTTTCTTACGACACTCATGAGTCCTACGAAAGTCAGACTACGAAGCAGCAGTAATGTCTCAGCAGCCATTCTTGGTATGTACATGCAGACTACTTTCGCTATAGTGATCTATACTAATGCCTTGGTAACAGAAGCAAAAGTTCGAATTTACTCTGACGGCCTTAACGAGCAAAACTTGCGGGATCGCCTATCGGAAGGGAATTGGGAACTAGGATACTGGGAATATGGGTAACATTTCGGAGCATAGAGATCATGGGCTTACTCTCGGGTCGGTTAAATATATTATAATTGATAGTAATAATTAATGTTTTTATCTTTTGTTCGATTTGCATTTCATCCAAGCAATGTTTGTTGTTTGTCCCCTGTGCTGCGCCATTGTCATCTGTTCGTTGTATTGAAGATTGATAGTATATTGAAATTTTCCGATTTCCTATACAACAAATGTTGTCAATATCCCCCTGCAATCGGTTCTACATAAATATCCGGTCTATCTTCATGTGGTTTTAATACCTATATCGGGACCATGTCCTATCGAGTGAAGTGGCTAGTTATTCCGACAACTTACACGATTCAAACATTTGCAATTATTGTTGCCTTTAGTCGAATCATTCCAATAAAGTGCATTACATTCTTTGGATCAACTCTGCTGGACTACATTGGTATGTCACACAGTGCTAGCCACATTCTGCACATAAGTAGTATTACAGGTCACTATCTGCAGGCAACCATTTCCGAAACGTAAATATTGGAGATCACTTGCATAGTCGCCTCCGGGCTTTCACGTAATAATTGGTAGAACTTGCCTCATGCAGAAGGGTTTCTCTATATTCCTACTTGGTTAAGTGAAGGTTGAGAGATCAGGTCGGGCATCTCTGTTCAGCAAGACTCGGTCAACGAAAATGCTTTTCCTTGTAATGCAGTTTGCACATATTGCGGGATAATATTTGTTGCCTCTACCGAAAATACGATATGTTACTCACTACGCGCATATACCACATTGAGAGCTCTTCTGCTTCACAATCATGTCATAGTGGCAAATATTGACGTGACAAATTTCTATAGTTTTCTATTCCCGAGCCAGAGTCATTGATCGTCAGGAGAAACGACACAGTTTCAGCCACAAAATCTATACCCTTATGATTGCGCGAACTGGTGTTTGGTTAGAAGGCGGCGAGAGCCAGTCTCATCCCTTGCTTCGGAATCTCGATCGGTAAACCTAAATATGGAATCCCAACCAGAAATACTAACACTTCTGCCAATAAAGGCAGCCAAACACCCGGCCGAAATGACATATCAACGCCACACAGTACATATCCGATCCAACGGACAGAATCCGGGGTTGACCGTTCGGGACCCTGCAGCCGTGGCGCATGCAATCCAATTATTGACACTAATTCGCATATATGGCGACAACTATTGTTCGGAGTTGTGGATGTGTCAGTGTCTGTGATATTCGGTGACAGGCTGGATATGCCATGTCGCTATTCTAGGTACGTATCCAGAGACTTGAAGGGCCTCGCGAAAAGGTATAAAGAGGGCCTCGAATCCTCCCCAACTCGACGTCTTCTCATCATCAGCATCATTCAAGCTTCTCTCCTCACAGCTCCTCACTTCACAAACAAACCTTCAACCAACAAGCTCACGCTTCAAACAACCAACTACTCAAAAATGAAGGCCTCCGCTATTCTCTCCCTCGTTGCCCTTGCTGGCCTCACCATCGCCGCTCCTGCTGTTGGTATGTGACAGCGTCCATCTATTCCTGTTTTCCCAATTTATCCAATACTAATGTTTATCAGGCAACGACAATGTCCATGGTAGCGGGGACATCCACAGGCGTGGTGGTGGCTGGGGAGAGAAGCCCAAAGCCGTTGCCGTCGAGGCAGTCGAAGTCCCCGTCGCTGTTAAGGAGCCCCAGGAGCACTGGCACAAGCCCGCTCCTCAGCCCAAGCCCCAGCCTGTCCCTGTCAAGTCCAACGAGTACTCCAAGGAGGCTGGCAAGAAGTGGGGCAAGGAGGGCGGTTCCGCTGGTGAGGAAGACTACAAGAGCGTCCAGGACAACGAGTCCGCATCCTTCAGCAAGAGCTTCGGCGAGACTACCGATCACAAGACGGGCAAGAACTGGGGCAAGGAGGGTGGTGAGGAGAAGGAGAAGGAGCAGGGCAAGTCTCAGCAGTAAGCATTGACTGGTATGTATGCGCCTCATCTCCTAATGTGAATTGCTCCAAACTAATGGTTGTGATCTCCAGCTCGAGTCGAATCCAGGTTCCGCGCTGTACATACAGTTGCTGGTGGCTTCGGGGCGCACCGTGTCATAATCTTGTGTGATTAATTTGCTGTTGTTGCTGTGTTGTTGTTTTGCGGCTTCCTTGAACCTGTTGATAGTTTCAATGTCTCTCCTTGTGAATAGCCCAGGATGTTGAGTACTATACGTCTATAATTCGCTGATGGGGTTCTTGTGAAGTTTAATACAGATTGGAATTATCCTCTAATTTCTGCTCGGTTGTTCTTTCAGTCAACGTAGTCTAGCTGCTATTTTCTTGGATTTGTGATCTTCTGCTTCATTGCAGTGATGTCGTGAAAGTATTCTAGTCTCGGGATGCCATTACCTTGCATCAAGTGACTCCATAACTCAACTATGCATTGCTAGTATAGATCACACAGCAGTCACCTTAATAATAAAGGATGGCGCCAAACGATTTCCATCCTATCAGTACTAGACAGATATTCAGCTGTACCCCTGCCACGTAACAGAGCAAGTGAAGGCGACAGTGCGCTATACTGGCGTTATCTGTTAATGACAAGGGATATTCAGTGATTACTCAGTGATTATCCAGGTATTGCTGGACGGGGTACCGTATAACACGGAAAGATCCCATCCATAATCACGATGCAACTTCACGAGAGACCTGCCTATTACCAAACTTGGAAGTCTACTCCGAGAGCCATATATCTACCAGGTTATTTCCACAATATTAGGTCGTGAACATATGGTGAGGACTATAATCCGACATTCACCCCAACTCACCTTGTGGCGTTTCGAGATTAAGGCTTATCAAGTGAAAAGCAATACTATCAGAACTACAAAGGGATATTCCTCCCCGTGGCGGTGATCACATGCAGGATATAAAGACATATATCTTGGTCAGATCATACAGCCCTCGTTCGAAGCGTCGGCTGCTTTCTCTTTTTCTATTCCCACCCCCCATCCTCATCCCCGAACTTCATTTATCTATCTATCTTACAATCAATCAACATGGAAGGTTCTGCTCACCAAGAATTCTCAGTCGAGGCCCTTCCCACAAAGTCCGTTGCCTTTCATCCTACTCTAGCGACCATCACGCGCGAGTTTCCTGTCCGTGTCCAGGTACAGATCCCCTAGCAACCGCATATCATATCTAAAGATTATTATCTCACAGCCGCTAACAGCCCGGTGCTTTCGCGATCACCATCAACAAGATCGACCACCAGGTCGATCCCGATTCCATCCGTGTTGAAAACCTCGGCCCTGCGAAAGTATTAGACATCCAGCATGCAAACGTTCTCCGATACTCGTCCACTTGCAAACCATCCTCTGACAGAAAAGGCTTTGACCCAATCAGAGACCTGGATAATAGAAAAGACACCATCTTCCACCCCTCTGAAGGACTATACGCCGGATGCGGCATCTTTAAAGCCTACTCTGGGAACGATTCTCGAAATCGAGAGAGGCAGCCTATGGGTTATGGTGGAGCTAGTGCGCAAGATCCTCATCGGGGGGAGTACGGACCAGCGCTCTATGGAGGGAAGGATCCGAGTTTGTTGGAAGAATGGATTCAGAAACCTGCTGCGGATAAGTCGGCCTCAGACCGTTTCTGCCAGGTAGTTGTGCATCTGGAAGGGCAGATGACTGCTCCTGTGTCTGCGTTGAGCTCTGGCACTCTAACTGGTGATGAGCAGAACCAAGCGGGAAACAAGGTTCAGAGCAATGAAGTGCTGTTGCAATTGATCTATGCGGTTCCGGCGAAGTCAGAACTCATGCTTCACGACCTCAACATCAATACACTCTTCTCAACGGCCAAGATCAGGCTCTGTGCCCTGTTCACCAACATGACTTCCGAAACCTGGCGAGATGCCCAGGTAACGCTGTCGGCTCCGCAAGCGCACACGTCGCCTCCGGGGCAAGCCATCCCATCATTGACACCATGGGATCTGGCAGTCATACTGACTAAATCCGGGTCGTCTGTGCCCCCTTCTATGCCAACACTGGGGATATCAGAACCGACATTCCCCTCCCCTGGCTTTCCTGAGTTGGAAGATTTTTCTTTGACATTTACAGCCGATAACCTAGAGGAAGGCCTGGCACCCTCGATGTACCATGACTTTTATCCGCCTGATAGCAAGGTGCCCGAGTCGATTAGCCAGGGCCATGGCCTGAGTGTATCGTATGAACTACCTGGCCGGCGTGTCATCAAGTCCTCATCTGCGCCCCGCCGCTATGAAATAGCTGAGCTGGACCTCCAAGCTTCATTCACCCATGTGCTAGTGCCTAAAAGGCATGCCGCAGCGTTTCTTCGTGCTAAGATACAGAATACTTCGCCTGTGAATATACGATCAGGTGAAGTGAACTTAACCGTTGACCACACTTGTTTCGGCAAGACCAATGTTCCAAGCTGCGTGCGCAACGAATCCTTTGAACTCAACCTTGGGGTGGACAGATTCGTCAAGGTGGCGTATAAGGAACCTGGGATAACACTTAGTAAAATCGACGAATTCTTGGAACTAACTATCACATACTTCAAAGCATCATGCAAGATCAAGAATACTAGAGATCATGTAGTCAACGTCTTGGTATTGGATCAGGTGCCAGTTAATGTGGACAATCAATTTGATGTTGAGATTCTGACGCCAGAGGGCTTGGGATTTCCGGGTGATAAGGTGGATCTCACGGAGCCGGGAAAGCCGGGAAAGAAGACTGCGGAACTGGGGCGTGATGGAGAGGTTAGATGGGAGGTGACCCTTGAGCCGGATGAGGAGATAGAGCTCGATCTGAGATATTCTATCGAGGCGCCCTTTGAGAAATGGGGAAGGGACTTTCCTGTGCCTGTTGCGAAATGAGCTTATCTTCTGATGGCAAACTGACTGGTACAATACTGGGAAGTCGACCTGCAGTATGGTAGAACAGCGGTGTCTTATGTTGTCTTCACTCATAGCCTAAGCAATTGCTTTAACTGGAATCTTTTTTGTCTGGAGGTGCGGAAGATACGATCGTTACTTCAGAATAGACATGTCAATGTCAGTGCGAGAGATCTCCTAGTTCTAAACAGACACACGTGTCTTTCCTTAGTAGACATGTCAGAACAAATAGACAGTCTACAAAGTTCTGGAGCAGCTCTCGGTAAGTGATGAAACCACGGGACATCTTAAAGTCGGTAGGAGAAAGGGTATCCAACACTTCTTGATGGGTTCATGGCTGCATGTTGGTATTAGATACGTGGTATACATCAACCTAGCATACAGGACAAACTCTTCTTCTATGGATCGGTCAAATTTCGGTCAAGCTACGTAAGTCTTCACAATGTATATTTGACTCGAAGTTCCGTAATATACTTATCTCAGTTTTCAGTACGGCAAGATATGGTTGAGACATGATGAAATGAACAATACTATTCTCAAGGTTTCGTCGGGATAAGTATTTCAATTAGGAGCATTTGCAATGAAGCAAGGGACCTACTTTACTTATCATCATCCAGTTAAACAGCGGACCCCTATCGATATTATCTAGAAAAGGAAGGATTGATGAAGATCATTGAGGTCACATGATGCAGCAATGTCCTCCAAATAAGGCAGAGATGAAGGTGTCTACCAGCTGAATACTCCGCTACAATGGTATTAATCGAACCATGCCAAGATGGCCACAAGATTGAATCACGTTTCATAGTAGATCAAGATCGTGTGTAGGTTACTGCCAAGTTTATCCAATTTCAGCACCTACCTCAGGCGTAATGAGTGTACACACTCTATAAGTGCGATGTATACTTAGTACGTACTATATAGTTTGGAGTGCTACTGAAGTAAACTTCTTCACCCGATAAGTTATATATATCGCCTCGACAGTAGAATCCTCAACCACAAGTTAAACAAATACTAACCCCGGATATATCTTCCCCATTCTCCATGTGGACCCTCAACATACCAAACTGAAGCCACCCTCCATACCACAGTATATAATTATCCACATACCACCCTCGCCGTGGCGAGCAATCAACATTCCACACCCACAACCTCACCGAGATAAGTACTCCCCTACGCTCCGATTCGTCAGGAATTCCAGCTTATCTTCCACACCACAAGCTACAATGTAAATCACCTACGTGTGCAAACCAAGGAAAACAACTGGCATGATGATGGCTGGCCACGGCTACCAGCCCAATACGTAGATAGTAGTTAGCCGCCATACCTGCTTTGAGTTGTCCGTCATTCCCACTAAACCCAACTGAAATCCCGAGGTCCGGGACCTGCCGCTGACCCGACAGAACTCGTGCCTTGATACCTTAAGGCACTTTCAGACCGTATCTCCGTCACGTATTCACAATACCGTAATAATACTACCAATACAGGTCCGATACACGGCGGGCTCCGTGTCGCTGCAGCCATCCATCGATCGATCCCATCCCCCATCCGCATCACCCTTTATCCTCCGAGTCTGTCGGTATCACCAGAACGATACTTGAATTATGCATTTTTGTGTTCCCGTGGATACTACTAATCAGCAAGAACTTATTGCTGCACATTACAACTCTACTTGACAGTTTAAATTGTTGAGAATACTGGGAATCAACAACAACCACCCACCCCCCTGCTAGCCGAAGAACAGTTCGCGAACAGCTCGAGCCCCGTGGCATCCCTGCACCAGCTGCATGCTTAATTTGAGCCAAAACAAGTGAGAGAGCGCCGCAGGCAAGGCAAGGCAAGGCAAGGCCAGTTTGCGGCGACGGCGGCAGCGGTTCAGTCGGGAAGCTGGCCGGGTTACGTAATACTGCAGGGCGGCTGAGATCATATCTCGATCACCGGGTTAAATCGAGTTTAGTGAGACCGACCTCGGAAATAGATAGGGACTGTGTAGAAATTGGGGGGGAGGGCCACAAAAAATAAAAATTAAAAATTAGGACACCAAAAAAAATTAGGGAGAGCGTAGAAGAAATTTGCCCCGGAATCCTCACCCTGATCCAGGTATAAGTAGCAGACGGATGTCTTCTTGGGAAGATGGGAAAGAAAAAACGGGCTGGTGAGCAAAGCAGGTAAAAATTACACAATGGGTTTTCCTTCCAAGGGATTCTTCCTTCTCGTGGAAAGGGGTGTGGTGGCCACGATAACAAGCACACAGCACACAGCAGGGTAAAACCGCGAGCAAAGCCAGCCACTAGCGGGCTGACTGTGTTTGTGTGTGTGTGTGGGATATGCTTTCGTCCGGTTTTCGAGAGGCCACGGGATGATGTCGATGGGATTGGGTTGGCTTGCGCCGCGCGCCCACTTTTCTCCCCTATTCAGCTTGCGCCAGTCATCCACCCCCCCTGAGATTTGCTCCTTATTCCCCCGAGAGGGATCAATTTCTCTGATGTATCCAAAAAGCTATATAACCCGTGCACCACCCTCGGAGACAAGCGTGCTGAGGCATTGGGTGAATTGGTTATTTTTTTTTATTTCATTTTTTGCGCCATAGCGCCAGAAGCCTGTGTGGACTAACATTTCTGCTATTTGCGAGCTAGCTCAGGGAGCTACGGATCGTCGCGCGTTTCCCCGGCGAAAGGCGCTCCGTACGGAGCCGGGTTGTCCCAAAACGGCAGATAACCCAATACGATGAGTCGGTGAGGCATTTCCCGAGGGGAGAAGCAGACAAGGAGCAACGGCAGCAACACAACACAGGACAATTGGGGAAGCTTCCCTCCTTCCAGCCGACGCGGCGCAAACCTGCTTGCGTCTCAGAAGTGGGAATTTTTCTTGCTCAGAAACTCCGGTGCTGGTGGAGCCGCATGCCCGATTCGGCCCGGTTTGATTGCGACCGAGAAGCTGGCCATCATATTAGCTGGGTCTTGGCTACTTCCCATTGGTTGTCCGGCCACCGCTAAGTGGGGGTGTACCACTCTATCGGACCCATTTGGATGCAGGGACCCACCCGCACGTCTGGTTTTTTTTTTCTTCTTTGCGGTCTCCCGTTTCGCTGTGAAAATTTTGCATACCGTAGCTGGTCTCTTTGGGCTTGTTTCTCCTGTCTTGTCTTGTCTTTCCCGGTCTGTTGCTGGGTTGGGTGGGTGTTAGAAGGGGAAGGGAGAAGGGGACAATTTATATGTAAGGAAAGAATGAAGGGAGAGCCCCGTAGAGACAAGACAGGAATGTTTTTTTCCTTCCCTTTTGTGACGACACGAGGACAAGAAAGGAATCAAACGGAAGGGATCGGTCCGTACAAGTGTAAAATACACACATGACTACGGAATACTCCATCAGATGCAGCAATTGGGTTGGTTATCTGAAGGGGAAGGAAGGTGAGAGGGAGAGTCAGTAGGCCATTGCTCCATCGCGGACCAGCACGGCCAGGTGAAGACCCTGAAACCATTGGCTGTACCAGCTGTAGCTCCCCTGGTAACCACCATCCCGAATGATCCCGAAGGTTGTGTATGTGTGTATGCGTACACAGGATGTGTAAGTAAGTTGTGGTAAGTGTGTATGTGCGGTGGAATGTCCACTGCTTTTCCCGGGGGAAGGAAGAAGGATAATGAGCCAAAAACGAGGCTGCCAAACACGGTGTAAGGGAAAAAGAGCGAAAGGATCAACTAGGGATAACGGATTGATACCAAAAGACAAGACATAAACAGGAAAAACAGGAACAATACAATACAAACAGACAGTGCCAAAAACACCAGCAAACAATAAAAGTAAGGTAGGGCTTTTTTTCTGGTCCCAACAAAGCGCACTAACACCCGACGGGGGGGCTGGGTGGGAAAAGGGCAAAAAACCGCGAAAATTTAGCGGGAGAGTATTTATGTCCCGGGGGGCCTTCTGTTGTCAGTTTCCTCCAGCTTTTTCCTCCAGAAAAGTTCTCCTTCCTTCTTTCCCTTCCCAATCCCATCATTTTCTAGAGAAACTCCTCTCTCAGAACCACCACAAACCATCACAATGGCCTCCTCCCGTGTCTTCGCCCAGCGCCTGGCCTCCACCATGGCTGCTTCCACCAAGGTCGCTCGCCCTGCCGCTCGCCTCCAGCTTGCCCCCAAGCGTACCTTCACCACCCAGCGCAAGGCCGTCCCCATGACCCCCTTCCAGACCGTCAAGCGTCAGTCTCCCTCCGGTCTCATCCAGGCCAACGCTCGCCAGGCTTTCGCTGCCCAGCAGGCCCGCCGCCAGTACTCCTCTGAAATCGCCGACGCCATGGTCCAGGTCTCCCAGAACCTGGGTATGGGTTCCGCTGCCATCGGTCTCGGTGGTGCCGGTATCGGTATCGGTCTCGTCTTCGGTGCCCTCCTCCTCTCCGTCTCCCGCAACCCTGCCCTCCGTGGTCAGCTCTTCTCCTACGCCATTCTTGGTTTCGCCTTCGTCGAGGCCATTGGTCTGTTCGACCTGATGGTTGCCATGATGTGCAAGTACGTTTAAATTATGACCGAGGGATGATTGCAGTCACGACATCTGCGGAGATTTTATGATCCACTCCCAATCTTCGATTACAAACCTTCATCTATATTGGAGAGAAAATAGGGGATATTGGGGGGAATATCAGCAAAATTCTTTGTGTTGAGATTGTCTTGGCTGTGATAGGAGGTAATTCTATTGTGGTGGTCTTTTTATATATCATGTACTACTTTTCCCGTCATCATCTACAACCATCAAATACACTGTACATATAGAGATTTAAAATGGCCACTAAACTCCACGGATTTGCCAGCTACATTTGATTGTAGGATTGGGACTCTATATCCACATCGATTGATAATTCTGCTGTTTTCAAATCTTGCCAGTTCGGACTGACCCATGAATGGAAAAACCTGGGGTAACGACAGTGCTCGGTCCAGCTTAGCTGGTCAGGTCAGATCTCTGAACCAATTATCATATGATCACGCTTTCAAGCTTGTCGGTCAGACTGAACAGCTCGACAAAAGACCTGGTCTGTTTGAAGGCGGAAGGCGTGGTTGTGAGCCAGACAGGTACGAGCTTGATGCCAGCTGTCGACAACGAAACGGTTGTCCCGGAATCTCCGGGGGCAGCTCTGCCCTCCCGGCGACTACCTCTCAACAATGGGCGATTACCGCCTTATAAGCCCTCCTACTAAATCCCCATTACACCACAGGAGGCCAATTGATCTAATTTTCTAACCTAGAGAACGTCTAGAATAGTCTCTCTCACTTCAATCATTATTCAATAATTGTTGGTAAAAATCAGCCATCAACCAAACCCATTGTGGCCCATGGCACCCCCTTCAACTTTCACCCGGTGGATCTAGACTGACGATCCCAAATGTAAACGTCACCCACCCTACCACCACCACCGCCTCAGCGACCCAAGGGCAAAATATATGTGTTCAATGGTAGCAGTGAGAACTTTTACAGACACTTTCCATGCAATTGACTCACATCAACTGTCTTTCTATCTCAGGGGCTGTGAAAGTAAAGAAAGAAGAAAAAAAATTTTTCATTCAAAATTTTGTCGTGCAGCTCTAATCCCTGCATGTGCATAAATCTCGACTCATAGTTCCAAGTAAGAAAAGAAGTACCTACAGCCAACCGACATGAAGAGCTGCCGTGCAACCCAAACCCAGTTCTATCTATCTATTCTAGTCGACGGAAGGAAGTTGAAACTAACCCTGCGCCAAGAAAAAACATAGGTACCACTTTTTTTTTTACGTATCATGTGTATCGGGGGTTTCCCTGCGACGATCGGATCGGTAGAAACATAGATACTTGAAGGACAGAGAGCAGAGCACAGACACATAGCCATTGAGTGGAAATTACCAGCCATTGTGTCAAGGAGGGTAGGGAAATATTCTACGGTGCAATGGTATAGGATGATTCCGTTTCGATGATGAATCATGGACTTGATACGGAGGGATGATGGATGTGGTTGTGGATGTGATTCATCCATTCGTTTCGTCTCGTCTCCTTCGATCCGGAAGGGAGAGAACTCGGTAATTTAGGTAATTTATTACTGTCTTGGGTATGGTATGCTTGGTACGGGTATTACGGGGATGAGGTGGTGCATGTGACCTGTCGGTATTTGATGGACATGTGATCTCGGGTGAGTTGCCTGTCTGTCTGGCTGTCGGTTGTTGGGTTGTGGTATACCGCATGTTTGCTATCTTCTGATCTCTTCTCTTAGATTTCTTCTGTTGTCATTCTTATACTTGTGATAGTTTCAATAAGAGCTACCGTGTATATAATATCAATGAAATTGAATTGAATGCCATCAAATTGTCTATTTCACACCCACCATGCATATCTGCGTATCCCCGACACCCATACCCGACACGAATATGTCCAATCCCGATCCTACCCGATCTTCATCCGGCAGGCCTTACTGCCATACCCTGTATACACAATCATGCATCGTAGACCATAACACTAACGCACAATCCTGAATCACTATACCATCACCAACATCATATACATAGCAGTCTATCCTACCCTACTGAGTAAGAACACAAGAAGAAAATGCCCCCATCACCCCTCTACACCCCCCAAGACGTCCCCTCCTTCAAGAAACGTCGCAACCGTCTCCCCAACACCCGCGCAAAGCAACTCCTCCGTGCCGCAGAGCGCGATTACAATGACCCCCCTCCACCACCTGGTCTAGGCGAGTGCTGTGGGAGTTCGTGTGATCCGTGCGTCAACGATCTGTGGAAGGAGGAGTTGGCGATTTGGAGGGAACGGTGGGGGGATGGGGCGGTTGAAGATGGAGATACGAAGGAGGATGAACAGGGAGACGAGAGTGAGGGGTGTGCGAAGATGAAGATGCCAGGGAGTTGGGAGTGGTAGCGTTGGGTTGTTGATATGTCGCACGTGTGTTGGGAAGATAGTGTCCCTCGATGGTGACGGGAGTTAATGCTTGGTATGGTAAGTTAGGTTCCCGAATAGTATCGAGATTTGTATGCTGAATATTATATAGGCGTATTGCATACCTGGGAGCGAATGCTGAGCTCGTGGACAGTAGCTACGGCTTCAAATGTTACTTTCCCAGTTCGGTTGATGAAGTGTACTTGGCTTTGCTCTGGTAGGGCTGATCATGGACACACTAGCTGTGCATCAATATCTACCAAGCATATGTTTCCAGTCATATTGTCATCAGGCTGGCATAGCTATTGAGCAGCTCCCTCGAATCGGAGGAGGCTGTTGTCCTATGGCGAATTTAGCCACCGGCACTACATTGACAGCAATGAGATTCCAAAGCACCTGGCTGAGCTTATGTGCAGACTGGGAATCAGGCAAGGCACATCGCGCGGCAACTATAACGAGCAGTACGCGATATCTTCTCTCGGGGTACCTGACCCCCTGATACCAAGGCATCCATTCAGAGCAAGCGTGAAGGATCTCGGGCGTGGCCGTCGGATCCAGCACCACAAAGGAAAATCTTCCGGATGATAGCTTTGCTGGAGACCAGAATTTCACCTCGGCTTTATGGGTGAAAACGCTCTCCTGGATGCTTGTCGACGACCCTAGGCGTCACTCTTCGCCGACCGGGCTGTCAATTATCAACGAACAAATGGCTTCTACTACCCTTGCATCGGTCTCACCATGAGCGCACAGCGCATGGTATGCTCTGATTTCAGAGGCTTCGATGTTCTTCATCGACACCAAGACACTTCGACAGGGTCATCGTCATCAACGCTGCCTAGGGACTAGGAGAAAATCGTCCAGGACTCCGTGGACCAAGATGAGTACCAAGTCTTCAAGCCCCTCGTCTCGGACGACTACTTCGTCTCCATAATCGGCGTGAGTGCGGCCACAAAGCCATCGTTATCTACGGCAACGGGACAGACCCCAACCTCTAAAGCCGAACGCGTCGCACTGGTCCTCAGTGGCCCCGAAAACCCCCAGAAAGCTCGATGGGCCTGCACCATTGACACCCATTACGACTGCCCTATGGACATGGCATGGTGTGAAAGACAGTCTTGCCAGTGATTCAATCATCCCCCAAGCCCGACCGGAAGTTATGCACTTGTGTCGCGACGCGACCGCCGATCTTAAGATGTACAACATCGGCCACAAGGGCCGCACTCTAAATCACCGGGGCGATCGTAGGTGATGCCCCTGTCTCCGGCCGTCTCTATCTGACAGAGTCTGCGCATTGGTTGGGCAAGTCCATCGACGGTTGCATTCTCGTCACCGCCACGACCGACCAGTCTGGCCGCCGATCATGAAGCGCCCTGCGGCGATCATCACCGACCATGGCGGCCGCACGTCCCACGCTGCCATTGTCAGTTACGAGATTGGCGTCCCTGTCATCGTGGGCACCTATAATGCCACCTATGATGCCACCTATGTGCTGTTTTCGGGTAGAATATGACAGTCTTATGCTCATGAAGGGTTTGTGCTGGGGTGTAGGACTATCCACAGCTGCGTGAGCAAATGAAGTTCACGAATGTGGTGGCCACGACTCCGTTTTGTCGCACAGTGGGCGAAGTAGAGGAGGTGTTGCGGGTGTTGGCAGATAATGGACTGCAGCTTCATTTGAAATTTGAGACTCCGTCAAACGTTGTCCTGGCGGAGCAGTTCCTGACGCACTTTGATGCGTTCTCGATCGGGTTGAAAGATTTCACGCAGCTGACACTGGGATTTATTGTAACTCGGATGAGTTAGCAGAGCTGTTCAATGAGCAGGACAAGGCGGTTACGACCCTCATCGCGCAGGTTCTTCGGATCGCGCGTAGGGTTGGCTGCAAGGTGGGCATCTGTGGAAAGGCACCGAGTGATCATTCTGAGTTGTCGGTGATATCGGGTAGATTCGTGGTGGTGAAGAGGCAGGTGGTGGCGAGAGAGCAGAGACAAAATTGGAAGAAGGCTGATGGATCTGGCGACAACAAGTGGATTCAATAGTTTTGATCTTTTGAACCCCAGTCCACTTCGTTACACATACGGTACTTGCAAAGACATTCATTCGCGTGTTCTCCCTATTCAATCAAGCAATGCATAATCCCACTCCTAAGGTACTTCGATCCCTACTACGGCCCTTCAGCCTCCTTCACCTTGTAATGCTCCCACATTAACCCCAACTTCATAACCCCCTTTTCAAATGTCCCATTCTTCTGAACTACTTTGGGGCTAGGATTTTTGTGTGAATGATATGGAGAAGAGAGGGAATTCGGACCCTTAAATCAAAGAGGCTTATAAAGCTATGGCAATGTGGGAGGATCTAGGAAGGGAGTTCCTGTTGTGGCGTCATTGTTACGGGACAACCCTGGTGAAAGTGTGTCCCGCGGATTATGGAGAGGTGGGGATAAAGAAGGTAGCCAGATCATAAGAAGAGATTGCACCGTGATTACTGCCCCTTTTGTCTCTCTGGGAGGGTGGTAGATGAAAATAGCCTGATGGTTGTCTAGATCTGACACGTAGTATCCACATGCACAAGTCGTGGAAAGTAAATTTATCCTCCTGTTCACATACCTGATAAGAGGACTATGTGCTGGTTGGCTTCTAGAACTTTTGGCGCCAAGTAGCACCTAAAATTATTATAATCGAAGACGATAATCTCCATTAGATTAGTGACAGATTACCTGTCAATGCAGCCCATATGCAGCAGGTTAGTCATCATACCAAGCATGCCCAGCCCCTTTTTCACATCTTACAGCCATGTTATCGCAATCAGAGGGGTTTGTGTAGATTCAGAAAATCCAAATACTAATTCCTCCACTGTCTGAAAGTTCTACCTGACTGGGCTTGAGTTCCGCGTCCTGTAATTACAAAACTTTATCGAAACACCAGATTATGTTCCAAAGAACCCTCCCAAGGCTGGCGGAGACAACTCCCGACTACGTTGGAGCAACCGGATCTCACTATCACTTCCGAAGCATGATCCAGAAGAGGCCATGTATGGGTCGCATTTGGTTGGCGAAGTCTGCAATCTCTCGCTCCTTATTTGGGTAGCTTTGCTCATAGAGGTTAGGTCCGGGCAAGACAAGTACATCTTGAAGGATATACCTCGCGATATCTACGACAATTTCACTGAGGAGATACAACCGCGATTGTGTAAAACAAATCATATACGGCTGCCATGTGACAGTATACCAGGCCAGCGAGTCTTTGTCTACAAGTACTTGACAGACGACTTCCTGAGTCTGGTGAAGAGAGGCATATCGACTCAATCTCGAAAGCAAATTCTTAAAGCTAGCCTGCGAGGTATCGCTGAGTTGCATAAGCAGCATGTCGTGCACCTTGGTAATAAGCAATTGATCCGACCCCTGAATAACACGGGACATGTGTGCTAATTTGAATCAGATATTAAGCCGGACAATATCATGGTCGATTGCCGTGAAAGAGAAGAAGAGACCGTAGTCGAGAAGGTCCTACTTACCGATCTCGATAATGCAGCGTACCTGCCACAAGGTAGGTGTATTAAAGGAATGCTCGCTGGAAACGACAACTGGCGCAGTCCGGAAGCGCACTTCAGGGGAGAACTCAACAAGCCAACGGACATGTTTGCTTTTGGGATTGTAGTAAGTACATCTGATAACTTAGACGAGCAATATTGACATGTTTAGTGTCTCTATGCGGTGTTGGAACGTGTGATCTTTGGCATCCATGACGATTTCCGCTTCCATGAATCGCAAGGTGCATTGCCCACTATGATACGTCTACAGCGTCAAGTTTCATACTTTGCCGACAAGGAAGGCATCAATGGACTGCTGAAACATATTGGCGATAACGAGGTCAATTGCCAAGTCCTACAGATGCTGTGGGACGAAAGATCAGAAGAATACATACCATACAAGCCATTTTCACAGTGGGAGGACCATATGGAACCGGGATTCAGGGATTTTATCGCGCAGCTGATGAATCTGGGCCCTGCCAAGCGACTAACTGCCCGTGAAGTCTTGGAACATCCATGGTTTTCAGATGTCTAGTATCTCTCCATATACTACACGACTAAATTCAACCTAGAGATTCTGTGTCTGTAGATAAACGTATAATAGACTAATAGGAGTGGATATTTCGATATCCTGCTATTTTCGGTCAAATTTAGTGCGTCCGCGCTGGAGACAGTGGGTCCAGATCCCCTTACATGGGGTCCGTGCTTGCCCAAGATTCCTTTGGTCCTCCTACCTCCCATGGCATGCACCAGACACGGATCTTACATCCAAAATGGCAACACCATGGAGGTCTCTGAGAACTTCGGTCAACAAAGTATTCAAATTGAGTCCATATAAACCACCAAATGTGCCGAGGCAAACTTTAGCGGCTGCGGAAGTCATTGAAGAAGAGTGCACTCCACATTATGAGCCAAACCACTTTTATCCTGCTCGCCTATACGAGATTCTCAACAACAGGTACCAAATCACTGCCAAACTTGGTTGGGAAAACAATTCCACAGTATGGTTAGCTCGTGATTTGAATCAGTATGTTCTACTGCATCGTCAAAGCCGTTCGGCATAGACTCAGACTAACATTATAGTAGATGGCGCTGGTGTTCAGCACGCTACGTTGCAGTCAAAATCAAGGCGAATAACTATGCAACAAAGGAAGACGCTGAAAGGGAACTTCGCATTACTGAGAACATTACGCGCGCAAATCCACGGCATGTAGGCCGGAACTTTGTCAGCACGTTGCTCGATTCCTTTAATTTACCAACTCCTCATGGTACCCATGTTTGCATGGTGTTTGATCCATTGTGTGAGCCTCTATGGATGCTTAGACGGCGGTTTCAAGGGGATGTGCTTCCATTGAACCTTCTCAGACCTGTTGCCAAGTTGATTCTGGAAGGGCTTGGCTATCTCCACTCTGAATGTCAGGTCGTCCATACAGGTATCGCTTCTATGCAAAAGAGAGGTAAGCTGTGAATTACTAATGTTCTCATGGCTCTCCGTGACCATTTCATACTTGATAGAATGTCTCAGGACGAAGTAAAAGAACCATTGCCTCAGAAACAGCTCGAGACCGAACAATATACCTTTCGAGAAATCATTTCGGGGTGGAAGCAAACAGCTTGGGCAGACCAGTGATCACTGATTTCGGACTGGCTGTGGAAGGGTCTCAGACTCATTACCATCCCATTCACCCAGATAGTTTCAGGGCCCCAGAGGTTGTTCTTGGAGCAGGTTGGAAGTACAGTGCCGATATATGGAACCTGGGTTCTTTGTATGGCTTATTGCTCGCTTCGCAGATACTGTAAATTGCTAATAATGATCCAGCTTGTGGAACTAGCCCACGGCAGTGGTCCTCTTGATGGACTAGACTCTAATCACTCTACCTTCACGGAGGAAGCTCATCTGGCTCGCATTATATCGGTACTTGGACCTCCACCTGTGGATGTGCTTCATGAGGCGAAGTATGCTTCTCGATATTTTGATACTGAAGGTAGTCACTCTTCTCGGCTAGCAATGTTGGAGCTTTACTGATCTCAATGCAGGCAATTTCAAGCATCCAGGGCTGATCCCAGAGAGTGGAGGACTTGAAAAAACTCTTCACGACGTAGAAGGTGATGATAAACAGGCCTTTATTAACGTAACATCGCGAATGCTGCGGTGGAAAGGAGATGAGAGGGATACTGTGCAAGGGTTACTGTCGGATCCTTGGTTTCGGGGGCTGTAGGAAGCTGGTCTTCCAATATATAGACTTAATCTTAGTGCCGCGTATGTGAGCAAACAAAAATAACAGATGTTGAATCATTCACTGTAGCCAGGTACCATCTGAACTTCCGCGCCTTCTTCTGTCTGCGTGGTCGCTGACCACCTCTTACACCTATCTATAACCATAACTCGAGTCCTCGTAGATCAATTTCCAGATAAATTCGACTTTGCGTCTTGACAACAGATCACAAGTTTTTAACTAGCAAGCACTATTTCACATACATGACTTAGTTGGCTATTGCTAACTTGATCACCAGCCCCAATGTGGTTGAATATTGCCACAAATACATGGTATTTCCACACACCCTCACCAATGACCTTCTTCCCGGACATGCACAACTTGTGCCGTGACGCAGTGCATAACTCCACCCCCGACATGAGTCCCTCTGACTTTATCTCCGGCTTTATTCCACAACTTAATCTCAGGCTTAGTCTCATTTCCAGAATCTATCCCAGCTCACACTAAATTCCTTCTACAGCACCATCGGCACACATGTCCCTCTCCTCGGCAGAAAAAAAGCGTCTCCGAGACCGTCGCGCCCAACAAACCCTGCGCACAAAGAAGCAGCAATACACCGCGCAGCTAGAAGACAAAGTGGCGCATTGCGAGCGCTACCACGACGACAGCGGCACGCAGCATCTCCTACAAGTAATAGAGGGCCTGCAACGAGAGAACCAAGTCCTACGAAATCGCCAAGAGGGACTAAAGTCATTGATCACATCGTGGGAAGATCCGTCATCATCCCCATCGCATCTACTGCAACCACAACCACCGACGCAACTTCCACTACCGCCAATCCAGTCATACACCACAACACCAAAACCATCATCGTCATTATCACCACCACCACAAACCAACAAGGAAGAATCGATACCACCTCTCTACTCCCTCCTCCCTCTGCACTCCGACCTCCCCACCACCCCCTCCCTTCTGTGGCTCACCCTCCCCCCATCCACAATCATCTCCTGCCCTCCTTCCCCTCACCCCCTCGACCTCCTCTACGGCACCAACACCAACCCCCTCGCCAATACTATCTACACCAGCTCCCTCCGTCGTCCCCTGCGCGACCCCGAGCGTCTCGCCTTCGGCTGGCTCAGCTACCACTATAGCAAATGGCTAATCAACCCCACCTCGGAGACATTCGCCAAGCTGCCGACCTTCATGCACCCCGTTCAGGAACAGCTGCGTATCCCGCACCCGGCGTCACTGGATATGTTAATCTGGCCTGAGATCAGGGTGACTCTGATCCGCGAGTGGGAGGTGTATTCACGACAGAGGGACGACTTGTTTGGGTTCCTGGCCTGTTGTATGAAGGTAAGGTGGCCATGGGGAGAGAGTCTCTTGGAGAGAGACGAGAAGAATGACTTGGTCATGAAGACGCGCTTCAAAAACATGATCATGTGTAAGGAGGGATGGGGCATAACGAGGGAGTTTGTGGATGTCTGGCCGGATGTTGTTAGGGGGGTGGATGTGGGAGAGGTGTTGATGGAGATTGGGTAATCCTCGAATCACTCTGTACTATTATTATCTTCTGTTATAATATTCATATCTCATATTAATGTATACATGCACATATGTACGTCTATCATCTATAAATATGCCCACCAAAACTTTTTACAACACAAAGAAAATGCACCAGTGGCCGTAGGGGCATTAATCCAGATTCACAACCCACTTCTCCCGAATCTTCTGCCCATAGCGATTGAACAAAATCGGCACCGGCACAAACGCCAACGCCAAAAACCCGAGCAAGGAGTTTCCCCAACCAAGCCCCAAACTGCTAAACAGCTTCGGCCCAGCAAGCGGCAACACGGCACCGACCAACGATCTCGTCGCCGTGAGCGCCGCATTCGCACTGGCCGCATACGCCGGGTAGCAATCAATCACGTACGTCTGGATCGGCATATAGATGCCCATCATGCCGATGCCGAACGGCGCCATACCAATGATCGGCACGATCCACTGAACCTCGTACTTCGCGGACCAGCCATACCAGAAGAAGCTGATGGGGAGGAAGCAAGCGAAGATGATCATCGTGGGGAGACGCATTTCGGGCTGGAAGACGCCGTTGTTGCGGGCGGTGAGTTTGACGACCATGCGGTCACTGGTCATTGCGACGGCAGTCATGCCGATGAAAAAGCCCACTCCGATACCCAGGTAGGAGAGGCCCGCGAGACCGGTGGAGAAGCCGTAGGTCTGTTCGAAGACGGAGGTGATGGTTGTGAAGAAGAGGTAGAGGAGGCCGTAGACGAAGGCCATGTAGATGGAGAGGAGAAGGACGATGGGACTCTTGCAGATGAGGATGATGGGACGGCGGAGACCCTGCATTAGCGCCTGGGAGACAGTCGGGGGTGTCGTGCCCTGGGATATGTCGTAGGCGCTGCGAAGTTCAGGACGGTTGAGTTCGCGTGCGAGCTTGGCTGTTTTCCAGCGGATCAGGACGGGGGCGCATGTTTCGCGGTTGAGGAGCTCGATGCAGGCTCCGATGGTGCCGCTGGCGATGAGCAGGATCCAGAATACCCAGCGCCAGCCGATGGTTTCGCCGATGAAGCCACCGGCGATTGGGCCGACGACGGGGCCGATCAAGGGGCCCATAGCCCAGATGGAGGTGGCCATGCCACGCTGGGTCCGGGGGAAGAGGTCGGCGATGACGCCGGCGCCTAGGGTGATGCAGCCGACGCCGCCCATGCCGGCGAAGAGACGGAAGACGATCAAGGCGGAGAGGTTGGGGGCGAGCGCGCAGCCAATTTGCCAGACGACGAAGAACCAGTTTGCGGCGCTCAAAGTTATGCGGCGGCCGTAGATTTCGCTGAGGGGGGCGAGGAAGAGGGGGCCAATCTGAGGTTGTTAGTATGGGAGCGGTTTATGGTGTGGGGAGGGTAAGGGGGTGCATACTGTGTAGCCGAGAAGGAAGATGGTGACACTGAAGGAGAGGAGGGTCTCATTGGTGACGCCAAAGTCGGCGGCCACGTAACTGATAGCGGGGGAGAACATGCTCGACGCCAGCGGCGAGATGAAGGTAAAGGAGCTCATTAGGGCGAGGAGCATCCATTTGCGTTTCGGGGCAAAGTTTTGCGGGTTGTTGGGGTCATCTTGACCGTCCCAGCCGATGATGCCCTTGTCGAGATCGGTTTCGGGGTAGAGGGCGGCAATGGTGGTGGTGCTGGATGCGGGGGACTGGACTGGAGAAGTGGGCTTCTCGGATTGATCCTCGAGGTCGGGCATGATGAGGATGGCAGTTGGGTTCTGCACAAGGAGAAAGAGAGACTAGGGTGGAATTCGTGAAGATGGAAAATGGGAAAGCCATGGCGGATGGGGTGTTTTTAAAATAGTCTGGACGGAGATAACGGCATGCATAATTTGCAGGATATAATAATGTGCAAGAAAAAGCGTTTGTCGTGACATGCAGAGCCGCTGGGATTGATGGCTAATCTGGCTGGAGTTTGTTAGGGCATCCCTGATCAGGCGAGTCAGCGGGCTATCAATAGCCACTTAATGTGTGGCAATAAACTGAAGATGGAGGCGCTGAATCAGTGGTGGGTCCGAGAGAAAGAAAATGCGGTGGAATAAGGCTTTAGAACGTGGCATTCCGCATAACCTTTCCGCGGTTGTGCAAGTTATGCACCAGATGGAATAAGATCGAAATGAAAGTCTTTGTTATGAACTGCAGCGGTGAATAACATGATCGATTGGCATGGTCTTATCCCCCCATGCTAATCATGCAGCAACATGACGTGTTACCCTACCAGTAGCTACAATAATTCTTGTCTGCTTACCTTGTCTTGTGTCAGCTTGGCTTATCCCCGGCGAGGCCGACCGATGCTGCCATCACCTGGCAATTCCAGCCGAAGGATCAGGAATCATCCAGTAACCCTTGACGACCCAATCATCGTCGCCAAGCACAGACATACCATGCGGTGGATGTGAAACTGTGATCCGCTATCAGACTGAATGGTTTCCCACATTGACACCGCATGGCAGGTATTGCACACCACGTCAGAATCTGCCGGTTTCACATGCTTTGCTTGCACACCCGAAGTAAGGATAGCTTCATGTTGCTCCACTGCCTGATCAGCCCTGCCTCGGGATGCCGTAACAACAACCCGACTCTCTTCATCACAAGCCTGAACCCGAGCCGATAACAATAAATATTTACTTAATATCAGCTTGGCGAGTCTTGTCCCGTGGGAATGAACTAGTCGAGACCATACAGCTTGGATGTCTCTCATAAGGATACGCCATGTGGGTACTCGTCCCGATTGGTTCGCATCATCTCACCCGATCACATTCCGGCGAGCACCGCGCACATATGACTCCTTTGTTGGCAGTCAGGCCAGAACTCTTATCATACAGCATTCGGTCTGCCCAACGCGCGCTCCCCTGGTCTTAAATCTCATGTGGATACGAGTTGGCTGTCTGTGCGCTGCGGCTGGAACATTGGAGTGGTGTCGGGAATTTCCGGCTTTTTGCAGGCGATGTATAGGAGGCTCAATTCATCCCTAGAACTTCCTTGTCGTGTGATGGCTAATCATAGAAGTTAATTGAAAGTCTGTTGTGGACTTCTAATTTCTTTGTGGTTGAGTTACAGGGTGAATTTCTAAGATGAAGTCGTAGTCACTTAGACGTTGAGTACACGATCTAATAAGGAGTGCTGTTTCCGAATGAATGATCTAGCACTACAATATATTCACAATGATATACTCAATGGCACTGGATCGGGGATGCTGAAAATGCACTGCTGCAAGCCCTTCACTTTCTTCACTGTAAATATATAACTCTAATTCTGCTCTCCTATCTGGCTACTCTTCATATTCTCTATATAAATAATGTTTCCTCATATATAAAAAAATATGCTAGGACCCTCCGAAGGGAAACCGCATCCTTAGTTCCAAGTGGATAGCCCGAGAAACAGTATATACCCTTTCAGACAGACATATACGCAAGTACAACACAGAACCTGCAAATGATTCGTCGGATGATGATGATGAAGGCCATGCACGCTATACTGCCCAAGTTATCTTCTCGCAATACTGGTCGGTCGGGAGTTGGCAAATGCAGCCGGAGAGGACCGAGGTTATTCCTAACTCCACCTGTTTGCTGCCGACTACTATATAAGCCTTTCTTTACCATCACAAACAAATTGGAAGATCTGATGCACTCCACCCATACCCAAGAAAGAGCAGCCGCAAACGGGTTGCTGAGAAATGACAGGTTGTAGACTGGCAAGATTTCAAAAGGAGATAAAGTCCCCTTCCGGTCCACAAATATCCCACTGCTTAAGCGACCAATCAGTGATGTTTCTCCATCATTGATATTGATTATTATCGAAATCTTATTCATCGCAGCAAGATCCGTGTGCTAGGAAAAAAAAGATAACATCGATTGCCAGAAGACCTCAATACAATGCTGACTTCACTTGCTATCTGCGACGCATATGCCTAGTAACCATGTGTATACGACTAGAGGTCCTATCGATAGCTGAACACAGCCAGGCTCAATGCCTGCTGCGGTCTTTATCTTCCTCAACTAACATGTGATGAATGAAGCTATGCGTTGAAGTCATCCATTACATGAATCAATAAAGACCCTGTTTGCATGGTCTTGATAAAATACGTAAAGCTAGTCATGGATTATATATATCTGGAAATATCAGAAATACTGGTCTAGATGGCCGATTAACGGTGTTTCTATAAAGTGATATACCGGCTTATATTCCATTCCTTGCTATCTAGTATCTATTGCGGCTACTTGGTAAGGACATGTGAATTACGAACAGGCGAGGGGTACGCGCTTTGAGGGTCCTAAAGAAGCCAGTGTCAACGCCGCCTCCCTCTCCTTCTTAACCGCTATTGCGGCGCTTCTCAATCAGCCTATTAAGCGCCAGTGGTCGACTGGCAGAAGGAAGTTGACGGCAGACTTTGGCACACCGCAGCGTAAGCGGCAATACGTCGCTTATACTGATGGCCAACTTGAGGAGGTCTCCAATCATCGGATTATGGCACTCGTCGAGTGCAAAGCAGGGGCGCGGTGACGACATTCTCCAGGTGTTGATATGCAGGAGGTGGCACAGCTGGTGGCATGGGTGAAGCAACACTCCGCTGGGCCAGGGGCTGATAATCGAATACTCCTGTCTAAGGTTGGCCTTGGAGCTTTATATCTCTATTTTTCAGTATGAGCCGGGATGGCTACGCTATCTGGTAATCCTGTTGACCCCTCTTCCCTTCACTGGTGCTACTCAGGTTCGCTGTTCTGCATTTTCCTGCCTCGATCTAGCTTGCGAGATGCTTACACCACGATGGAGCCTGTAACCGATTTAGAGAACTCATTGTGCCGTTCCATCGGCGCGGTTTCAATTTCCCGTCATAGATGGTTGGTGGGCCGTAATCAACGCGGCCAAAACAGTGATATTGCTTCCCAACAACTCAATCAAATAACTGGAAATTGACGAGGAGCAGGTGGTATCTTAAGAAATGAACCTACAGCGTCCTTGATGGTGATGGCTGAATCGGGGAAAAACAACATATTATTCCCGTTCTGCGGAGCTCGGCATATTACACATTACGGACAAGCTCTTGCCGCTGCATGTTAGCTATGAATGGCAAGCCCTTATAGGTCTACATCCAAACATGAAGTGATTGAGAGCGTATATTTATTACGGAGAGCGGCATCTCATCGCGCTCATTATTGTACCAACCTCGGGGACCTGTATAGGGTCTTGGCTGAGGCCACCCATAATTGGAAGAATGCCGAGAATCATGCAAGAGATGAAGAGGAGTAGGACTGCAATCAAGAATACAATTAACACGCTTGTCGCAGCAGACAATATGGCGGAATTTGGCCCAGGATCCGACACATATCGAGGCTATAAAGACTCTCGATCTCGACACGCAACAGCCATGATTATGAAGTTACCAGAGATATTGAGAAGACGTTTTTGAATCCCTGGCAAGTGATAGTAATTGCTTGGATGATCAGATCTAATATATGCCATGAATTACTGAGTGATGTTGTCAAACTCTCGGCTGGCCTCTCTACCGTGAGGGTCTAGAAACACAGATCCGAAAAGGGGCTCCAGGGAGTGGAAAACTGAAGGCAAATTTCCCTATAATGGAAGCAAGTGTTTCAGCCTCATCATATGTGCTGAGGTCCGCGACATCATCTAAAAGGTAGGACTAATTATATCCTTGTTTAACCTTAAGCAAGATATCAATTAAGCTTTCTAGATAAGAGTGAAGAATTACACTAAGCTCTGGAAGGTCTATTAGCCAACAGATTACTCCATGCATAGAGCTCAAAGGTCAAAGTAATTTTTCTACTCTATCACCCAAATTCAAAGGCCTAGACTAACAAGCTGGTCTTGCCGTATGAGGACAGGCTTTAGTTCTTCACCAGCTATGTTGATGAAGATGGGTGTTCGAGCAAGTCAGTGTGCATTTACGGGGGCATTGAGAGCTCTTATGGTTATAGTTGGATGTATGGCTTCGACATCGGAAAGCATCTAACATTCTCCAATGATTGAGATATGTGGTTTGAAGAATACCATTGCCGTTAGGGACGGAGAAAACACCATGTATTCTAGCAGCGTCAGCATCTCGTTACCAACTGCCATGACCGCAGGCTATGATGGTCCCGTACTGTTGAACGTAGCTCACATGCGCACTCTCGAACACCTAGTAGAGCCGAAATTGATCCTACGAAAAGGAAGTCAAAACTGCTAACCCAGTCATGAAGAGATTTGCCTCTGAAGCAAAGACTCGATATAAAACATTTCCAAATAAAAGTGAAGGGTCGCAAAACCTCTGTAAAACTTATACTTTATTATATCCCGCCCAAACCCTATATGGCAGGAAGTGTAGTTGTAGAATGATAACGTTGTGGATGCAGTCGATAAGTATGGCCTGCATAGCTCGACAACCGGGTAAACAGCATAGGAGTGGACGATAAGGAAATCGAAGTAACCCCGGCATCCGAAAGAGAACCATCCACCTCATCAGATTAGATAGTAGAGTCTATGTACACCGCGATTCGTAAAGCATCGTGGCGCCAATCAGTTAGCTGTTATCACGTGGACGCTGCCGTTCGAGATTGAGCCATCGCCCTTGATCACAGGGTTGTAAGAGCCAAGGTCAGCGCCCGAGTCTTCGTGTCCTCCGACTACACCTCTGCATCATCATCCAAGCACGCATCTTTGCTCAACGCTGCAACTCCATACGCATCATGGCCACTTCTAGCCTTGACTACTCTGTTGACCAGGGAATTGCTAGCTTATTCGAGCGAACTACAGCCACTCGCTCAGCTTGCGATACTTTTGCAAGGAAACATTTGGTGGTGAAGTCGTTCCGGTAGCTGTGCAGGGAGTATGCAGCTATACAGTCTATGCTGGGCCAAAAGTTGTCATTCAATTCCGAAGTCTTCTCGTTTAAACATGGAGACAGTAAATCTGGCACGCACCATTTATGGAGGTTTTGCTCCTAAGGTCGTCTTTAAGGGACAGACTGGGGAAGATGTGGAGGGAAAAGAGGCCCTTTATATCTATGTCATGGATAGAATACAGGGAATTAGCTACTTGGATTTTATCCTGGCCCACAACAATCAGTTTCCCGAAAATTCAGCCGAGTTTTCTTCATGGCGCGAGAATCTGGTAATTGACGTCGCGAAGTATGTCTAGTGCGCCTCGTTGCATGTCAAATTCCTGACTAGTGACATTATAGGTTCTTTGCACTTTCGTGGAAATCACCCCAAATCGTTGATCAGAGCTACCGCGATAGTCTATATCATCAATATAAGAGCGAGCTCGAGTTACTACTCATTTCTCTGCCGGACCGATTTCGCCCCTTGATCCAGAAATCAATCAGCTCTTTACATGCTATATTTTCTCTTCCCATGGTGTTATTACATAGGGATTTTGGTGTCTGCAATAACATGGTGAACGAAACCACATGCAATCTAGTTGGAGTGGTGGATTGGGCCGAAGCAGAGGTTGCACCATTTGGCCTAAACCTTCACTTTCACCAACGACTGATTAGTAAGGTTCATCTCAAGACTGGTTGGGTGAGATACGACGGTTATCTCACATTGGAGGATATATTCTGGAGCAAATTCAAGAAGGAAGCTGGAGGGCTGAGCGATGAGACAATCAAAACCATGGAAGCAGCGAGAATTGTCCGCTTGTTGTTATCGCGCGGCTTCACCAGTCGTCTTTCTAAGAACACGGAGCCAGTACCCATTCGGGATGATGAAAGTGGAGTATACAACATGCGTGACCTAGATGGATTGTTAATCAATCCGGCCACGAGATTTATAGATCTGGCATAATTGGAGAATACACCGTAGAAGTTTCCTATAATTTCTCGTAGTGACTTTAGCGAATGGCTGTCCATCGTACAGAGCATAACTACGCCCATTGGTCCCTATAGACACAGAGATAATAAACATATTATGTCCACGTTCCACAGCGCAACACCCTAGCTTCTGCGGAGTTCACAATTGCTGCAAACTTATACCTCAATATTAGGCTTCTCAACTTAAATAGAAGCTGTTATCACAAGTGCAAGCCGATGTCGACGTAGGTGTTTCTATATACGATCAATGGAATTCAATCATAATGGTAGTAAGGCATTAGTCAGTTCCTTGCCCTGGTAAACATGGCAAAGGGTGTATATTTGCTCTATTGGCCATCAGACACCTTCTGACACAATGATGCTCCTGCCATCAATCGGAGTCTTGCCTCCTCAGGTTTCCAGTTTGGATTTGTGATATTTGGCTTTGCCTCCTCTAGCCAGGCATTCCACGCTTCCCAATCAGGTAATGAACGAGCTTCTTTAACCCACACAACCTCGCCTGTTTCCCGGATCGCATTCCAGAGTGCATACGTATAATTAGCGCATTTTCTATCCTTGTACACATTCACTGTAAATCCAAGTAAATCCCAGGAGCGTGGCCTATTAAGCAGCACTGAGATGGCCCAGTAACAAAAATTCAGCAGGATGTAACAGCGATAGCTGTCTGCATTGTCCACCCGCAGTTGCTTAGAAGAAGCACGGAGATCATGAGTAGAACGGTGCTGGCCCCCATCAGGAATTTGAAGAGAGTTTGATCCGGCTCCAAGGTATACTTGTAATGTTCTGGGTTTAGATATAGTTCCTGGGCGATATCCTCGGTGCAGTGAACGACAATAACAGCACCATTGCGGGTCCTGATAACAAGATCCCCTTGCTCGTTGGCGTCTCCTTCTTTCCTCTCGAGTTCCGGATATGAATGCTGCGAAAGACATGCAAGGCTACTGGATATCGACATGGTGATTATGGCAAGCAAACCGACACCATCGTGGAGGATGATCGACCAAATAGCCAAACCAATCGTTAAGAGAACAGATGCTAATGTAAGGATATTCATGGGGCAGAGAAACTGCAGGCCGATCCTCGTTCTAGCGGGTTCGTGATATTCTTCCAGGCTACCGGGTTTGGCTTCAGTGTAGTAGCGTTCCGTATGACCGATGCGATAAGCGCGAACTTCATAAGGTTCCAAGTGTTCCACCTCATGGATAAGTCCGGCGAAGTAACCCATTTGATTGTAAGTTCTCCCTGAATTTACACCAATGACAGACACATTGGTAACCGGTGGCAGCTGGGTCGTCGAACCCGTGTTTAAAATGGCTTGCGGTGCCGGTAAAAGTCGCGGTAGAGCACAAAATGGTGAAGCCACTATAAAATGTTTCTGCCTCTCTATAATAGACTCCCCAATTACGGCCAAGAGACTGACCGCATCAAAATGCCAGCCCTTATCAGACGTGTCTCGGGCACCGGTAAACCAAGTCATGTCGGCAGTGGAATGATTAACGATAGTTCTCAAGCTTTACGCCACCGTCTGTGCTGAAGAAAAAAAAAAAGAGAAAGCCGAATGAATTCAAAACACTGTGTGACACAAGAAGTCTCCTATTTGATAGACTACAATCGATGGGAGCTTGGAGAAAGCTTAAGCTTCATATTAGCGCACTTATAACTTGGCAGTGCCTCGATCTGCATGGATGCCCAGTTTCTAGAGGCGGCACATCGACAAGGCTGTAGAAGGAATGGAAGATGCGAAATCACCGGCGTTCCTCGGGGGATCAAGGGGAAAAGACTAGGCGGGGTGGGCACCCAAAAAAAGCAAGCATGAGCAAAGCTGAAAACGAATCCGATAACCATATAAGATAAGGGACAATAAAAGGCAAAGCAGAGTAGGGAAGAATTTTGCAATTAAAAGGCGTAAAACATTAATCTATCCATATATCCAATCTAATAATCTGTTATCATCATTACTACCCCATACCCATCTACCCTCCATCTCCAAATCTATTCCTTCCTCCCCAACTTCTCCCTCAACCTCCCGCCAAAGAAATAGAACACATACGGAATAAACACCATCCCGACCCCAATAAACGCCAACAACCACGACGCCCACTGCAAACCCAAGCGATCATACATCTGGGTAATGAACAACGGGAAGGCCGCGCCTCCACCCGATCTCAAAAACACCTTTGCAGCCAGCGCCGAAGCCGCATACTTCTGATAACTATCAATGATATAGTTATTGACCGCATAATAGCACAGCACCATGCCGAACCCAAACGCGATTCCTGATGATGCCGGTCCGACCCAGATGATATGCTTGAACGAAGTAGCACCGAGAATAAAGAGCGAGATAGGCACGAACGGCGCACCGATCAGCGCCCCGATGAGTCTATCTTCCGGGGTAGGTGGACGAGAGAGACATATACGGTGGAAGTGCTTCTCGACGAGGGGTGTAAAAAGGAGGGAGAAGCCCGCGCCGATAAGGATGGGAATGAACATCAGTCCGATCTGGCCGTCGTTGTAGTTGTACAACTTTCCGAAGATGACCGGGTAGGCGAAGAAGAAAGCATAGAGCATGCTGTAGATGAGCACGATGTACATGCACATGAGATCGAGGACAGGTTCGGTCAAGATCATAGTGATGGGGCGAATGAGGCTGGTGCGGATGATATCGTGCAGGGTGAGCTTGTGCTTCTCCTGCTCCGTGATGATGTTGGGGTTTCCCGTTTCTTTGCGGAGACGGGCAGCGCGGCGTTTAAGAATTACGGGGGCGTAGGTCTCTGGAATTAGACCGACGAGGATAAGTACGGCGCCGGCGAAGGCCATGTTAGTCCAGAAGAAGAGGTCGAGACGGTGGGCACCGACGGTGATCCAGCCGCAGACGATGGGACCGATGACGGGTCCGCAGTAGGGGGCTGCGGCGAAGAAGGCGATAGCCATGCCGCGGTCTTCGAGATTCCAAATGTCGGCAATTGTGCCGCCGGCAAGAGAGAGACCGGAGCTGGAGAAGACACCGCAGAGGAAGCGGCAAACGAGAAGGCCGCCGATGTTTGGGGACAGGGCGCATGGGATGTTGAAGATGGTGTAGAGGACGAGAGAGATGATGTAGACGGGACGGCGGCCGATTATTTCAGACAGAGGGGACCAGAGAAGAGGGCCAACGGCAAATCCGCAGACCATGATGGAGCAGGTGAGGGTTGCGACTTCGAGGGAGACGTGGTACTTTTCTTCGATGAGGCCGAGGCCACCGGTGACAATGGCGGAGCCGTAGGCGACACAGACGACGAGGAGAGAGGCGATCATTGTAACATACCAGCGGTATGTACGAGACCAGTTAAAGGGATTCTCAGGATCATTGATGGTGAAGGTGACGAATTCTGCTGGTTCTTTGACTTTCTCGATGTCGGAGCTTGATGTGTGATGTGAGGATGTGCGGGAGCGCATCTGTTCGAGTGTTCGTTCGGGGACAAGGCCAGTGTTCGTCTCGACGGTGTATTCCTCTGGAAAGACTGGGTTCTCTTCTCGACCGACATCGGGATAGTTGTAGTCTGTCGGTGGTGCTTTTTCTGATATTCCGCGGTTCTCGAGGGATTGCCTCGTTTCTGTCCTGTATAGGGCAGGATGGGATGGGCCATTGGCCGGGTCTGGTGTTGATGACATGATGTGATTATTATTAAGTCTAGATGGAAGTGTCTAGATGAAATAGTCTATTGCAGTTGAGCTGATGTTGATGGTATATAGAACTGGAACTGTAGGGCTTTATATACTTGAGTTGATGATTCCATGTATACGACACGCCGATCCATCTCCGATGCCGAGCTATCGCCGGTGCCGCCATTGGGCTGATGCCGTTCCTGATAGACCTGATAAACAGGTTAGCTACAACCAAGAGTGAAAAATTTTCTTCCTTTCAACACTTACAGTGAATCAGACATCCCAGGTTAACAGATAGCTAACTAGTCAGGGGCAATCCAGATAATCCAGATAATCCAGATTGCATGGGTTTATCTCAGAGCCGCAGCTGTGCCTGTCACACCACAGCTGAACTACCCTGACATCTTCAGAAGTGCGGTTTCACAGCAGAGAGCTTCTTTACACAGGGTATATTACGAGTGCATCAACGGAATGACTGCAGTCTACCTGCTATACGACCAGATGCGATGTTGCACGGCACGGAAGCTCCGAGTCAATCTCACTGCAGTAACACCAATGCATCGAAACACGTCATCCCCTAGCTGAGTGAATAAAAATCTGCAGTTCCATCAGATCAACCAAGGACGGGATGCTTAATCGCGCAACAAGCAGATCCCGGTTACGAGCATTCCAGGATGTGGCTGATAGCTACCATGCGTCAATCGGCATCTCGGAGATGGTTCGGTGCCGAGATTTTCCCGAGAGGCCAATGATAGGTGGACTGCTCAGCTTCGAGAAAACTCCGAACAGAATCCTGCAAGAAACGAAGAGCCTAACTCCGATATATCACTGGTTAGAAGCGAAACCGGAAACCAGAACACGGGCCGAGACCATTCTGCGATTGACATGCCACTACAAAGTAATAGCGGGCGGTAAGTTACAGCAGGGTATGTAGTAATGGATAACAGTTACCGTCAAATATATTGATCTATAGATCTGTCATAACCGCATCAAAACTACCTCCAACTTGTCGGTGACAGATATGCATAAGTTTGAAGCTATCCACTTCAAATTTAGGACGAATTGATGATTATAGCATGCAGATGATAATCTAGGCCGTGTTGAAAGTAGTTATATGATCGGTGTATCAAACCCAACCACCGTCATTCAGACGGTGAACTTAGTTGTTCTGGAAAACTCGCCCAAAAAATCAAAGGGAAGATCATCCAGACTACAAGACATTCAATACCGAGGATTTTCATAGTAATCTTGTAGATGAAGACGATTCCCATCCACTTGGACGCTTCTGCGCCAAGTACATGATCCGTGCGAGAAATCGCCAGTTATCAGGTTGGCTTTTTTGTCCCCTTGATTCATGATCAATGTTCAGAGTAACCGCGTGATTCGAACAATATACAGGGGGAATACCGTGCCAATCAATCACGCACCCTTTTCAGGAGTTCTCCTGTGACCAAAGTAGTAGTCGATCCCCTTAGGGCGTCATAGTGCATGCGCCAGTCTGAGCTCCACTGACTGCAGCACACCATAGAGGCCGACATAGTCCCCATCAATGCACCACCACGTCAGCCAAACGAGCGTCGGCCACTTCAAGCCTGGGAATATGACAACCACCGACTGTGCTAGCCTCATGGCAAGTCCAGCATCTCTCCGTACTAATCCAGCTAGAAACAAGGACTATTCGCCAAAGAGTCATTTGTTCACATTTCTGACATTAGACATCTCGTAATCGTCTTTACGCACTTCTCCAGGCCCCTATGCATACAACTGTTAATTCCTACGCCCACACCCTAACCCCCAATGCACCAACCAATCACCTACACCACCCTAATCACTAGCCTGATACTTAGCTCTATACTCCTCCAACCTCTTCATATCGGCCTCATTGCCCTTCGCCTGCATCAACTTGATCAAGTCGTCCAGAGTAACAATACTCGTCGTGGGCACACCATACTCCTTACGGATCTGGCCCATGGCGCTCATTCTGGGCTTGTCGTCCTCAACCCCGTTCTCATCCTTAGGTCCGGGCATCTTCTCCAAGCGGTCCAGAGCAACAGTGAATCCAACAACCTTGCCGCCCTCCTTCGCGACGAGGTTGAGGGTCTCGCGCATCGCAGTACCGGCAGTGATGACATCGTCAATCACAAGCACCGTCTTGCCCTTCAGAGCGGCACCGACAATGTTGCCGCCCTCGCCGTGGTCCTTCGCTTCTTTGCGGTTGTAGCTGTACGACACGCTGCCCCAGGTGGCGGGGTCGATGCGGTTTAGTTCGAGGAGGGTGGCGCAGGCGAGGGGAATGCCTTTGTATGCGGGGCTGTTTTTGTCATGGCTTTGTTAGCGGGGGGTGAGGGAGCGGGGGGAGGGAAGGGGAAAGGGGATGTACCCGAAGATAACGTCGGGCTTGGGGATGGAGGGGTTCTCGGCGAGGAAGGTGATGATAGTGTGGGCGTAAGCGGTGGAGAGAGCGGAGAGGAGAGAGGCGGTGTTAAAGATGCCGGCATTGAAGAAGTAGGGGGAGTCTATGAACCGTCAGTATGTCTTCAGGTTGGATGATGCGGGTGTTGGAAGGGTGCGTACGGCGACCCGACTTCAGGGTGAAGGTGCCGAAGGTCAGCACATTGGCCGACAGGCAGGACTCCAGGAAGGTGGTCTTGTAGGCGGGGAGAGCCATTGTGATGGTGTGGGCGTGAAAAAGGGGGTATAGACACGGGGATGGAGGGGGAAGTTGCGGGGGGATTTGGATGCAATTATTGATTCAAAAAAGTTGGGCTCCTTTGGGTGGATGAGGTAAGCACCCCGCACTAGCCTGATGCAGTAAATACTTTTATGGATATGGTTTAGTGTAAGACGATCCTTATCTTATCTCTGATAGTTATCGCCGAGGATAAATTGCTATTCGAAACGCTACTCCTTCCAAAAACATGTGCAGTCCGCAGAAGATCCATTATTGCCCACCATAATATACATTCCCATTAACGCCATCGGATATCCCATAACCTTCCACCAAGTTGCTGGTATAAATCACCTCAAAGTCTGCAAATTGACCATCTCATAATACCGTCCCCTGCGCCTCAACAACTCCTTATGTGTCCCACACTCAATCACCTCTCCCTGTTCCAAGAAATAAATCATATCTGCCCGTTGAATCGTACTCAAACGATGCGCCACCGCAATAGTGGTTCTCCCCTTTGCAGCCGCGTCCAGCGCAGCCTGTACCACCTTCTCTGACTCGGAATCCAGCGCGGAAGTCGCCTCATCCAACAACAATATGCGGGGGTTACGGATCAACGCTCTCGCAATCGCGATACGCTGTTTCTGTCCACCTGACAACATACCTCCTTTGTTGCCTACGAGGGTGTCGAAGCCTTGTCTGTTTCATCATCAGTAACCGTATATACCGTACAAGGAAGTGAAGGGGCACTCACGGCAACGACATGATAAAATCATAAATGTTGGCATCTCTGCACGCCTTGACCACCATATCCTCTGACATATGTTCCTTATCTGTACAACCAAGGAGAATATTCTCTCGAATTGTACCATGGAACAGCGACGGCTCCTGACTGACCAACGCCAAATGACTGCGATACGATTTCTTGTCCAACGCATTGATGTTCCGTCCGTCAATGTAGATCTCACCCACCTGCGCTTCATAGAACCGTTCCAACAAGGCAACAATAGTACTTTTGCCACTACCACTCGACCCCACCAGAGCGACATATTGCCCTGGCTTGACAGTGAGATTCAAGTGGCGCAGAACGGGTTGTTCCAGACGCGTGGGATACCGGAATGACACTTCGCGAAACTCAACTTCTCCCTGCATGGTAGCAACGTGGACCGGAGGCCCGTGTCGGTAGCTATTGATAGCAGAAGTGGTGGGGTTGTTATTGCGAAAGAGTTTCTTGAACTCCACAGCCGCATTTTTGGCCTTGCCCATATCCGGGGCGTGAGAGAAGATCGTCCCTGCGGCCTGCGCGCCGAAGATGACTTCGCTGAAGCAGACGTAGAACTGGAACAGGGAGTACTCGCCCTTGCCAAGTAGTGAGCCTCCATACCAGAATCCTAGCGCCATGCACAGGAATGGTAGGGCCTGAGAGCTAGCATACAGAGCAGAGGACTTGATTATAGGGAAGATGTCGCTTCGCAGCTGTTTATGGAGCTGCGATTCGTAGGATTGCAGCACCTCCGGTTCCATAGTCAAAGAAGCGACCGTGCGGATAGCAGAAGCTGCTTCACAAGCGGAACTAGCTGATTTTTGGTACGCCGTTTTAGCGCGACGCTGGATTCTGTCGAGCATCCAGACGCGAATGAAGCCACAGGCGAGGAGTACTGGGACGGCGGAGATGCACACCAGGGCGAGTTTCCAACCCATTGCTAGGGCCACAACCAGGGAGGCGGCCAGGTTGACGGAGACGATGAGGATGGTGCCCAGTGTGACGCCGCTGATTCCGGCTAGTTGCTTGGTTTCAGCGCCGAGTGTGGAGGTCAGAGCACCGGTGGTGTTTTCCTCGCGGTCGAAGAAGGAAATGTCTTTGTTCAGCATAACCCGGAAGGCTTGGCTGCGAGCGCGGTAAATCATGCGCTCAGAGCTGTAGGCAAAGAGGGTCCCCTGGAGGCTGTAGATGCAGAGGGTGATCATGCCCATCATGAGGAACATCAGGGACCAAAAGTTGGCGTCATGGCGTAGTTTTTGGTATTCAAAGGGCGGGAGACTGAGAGTGCTGACGGCTTTGGAGAAGAGGACGGCTTGAGAGGGCTGAATGCCGCCCGCGACGATGGAGGCAGCGAGACCTAGGGACATGATCGGCCATTCGGGGCGGTTAAATGATGCTAAAAATTTGAATAGCGACCACAGGGAGAAGGTCTGTTTGATTTTTGTCGGCAGCGGCGGTATGAACATGGACATTCGGCTGCGAGGTCGTTGGTTTTTGCTGCCGGACTTGAGCCCAACTAATGAGCCATCATCGCTTAGGATGTCTTGATCATCCATGGGATAAGTAGCGTAGTCATCGTCAAAGAAGAATGTCATCGACTCGTGCCGCTTCTTGTCCCGTTGTTTGATCTGCTGAGCTTCGACCATGTCGCAGTAGACGCCTCTCCGGTCCATCAGCTCTCCATGTGGTCCTTGTTCGACGATGTGGCCGTTGACGAGGACTACGATGTTATGTGCGTCTTTGATCGTGGAGAGGCGATGGGCAATGACAATGGTTGTACGGCCCTTGGTGGCCTTGTCTAGGGCTGATTGCACGATTTCCTCCGACTTTGCGTCCAGCGCTGAAGTCGCTTCGTCGAGCAGCAGCAGACGAGGATCCTTGACGATCGCTCGTGCGATAGCAATACGCTGCTTCTGGCCACCAGACAGCGAGAAGGACCCGATGTTCGTATCGTACCGGTTGGGAAGTGCCATGATGAAGTCATGTGCATTGGCCATGCGAGCAGCATCGTGAATCCGCTTGGTAATCTGTGCCTCGGTTTCATTCTCAAAGTCGGACCCGATCAGCCCGAACTTGATGTTCTCGTAGATACTGGCGGAAAAGAGCCGAGGTTCTTGAGATACTAGAGAGACTTGTTGTCTCAGCCAGCGCAGGTTCAAGGTCTGCAGGTCATGTCCGTCGAGGGTAATTCGTCCAGCAACGGGATTGTAGAACCGCTCGATCAGACCGATGACTGTACTCTTACCGGATCCCGAGGGCCCAACGAATGCTGTCGTTTTCCCAGCTGGGATGTAGACACTCAGATCATTGGCAACAATGACCTCAGGACGCGACGGATAGACGTGTCTGATGTTCTGCAGGACAATGTTGCCCTTGATGTGGCCGAGCTTCAGACCCTGATCTGACGACGCATCCAGGGGCGACGGCCTGTCAATGGTACTGTACAGCTTGGATGCCGCAGCCACGCCATTCGAGATGGCCTGAGTGTTCGGGGCAACGTTGCCCAGATGGTACGATCCCAGCATAATGGACATGAGGATGGTGAGAATATCACCTGCCTGGACACCACTTTCTCCATGCACGAGGAAGATACTCCCACGCCAGAAGCCTAAACCATAATTCAGATGGATGCAAGAGAGCAGCGCACCCACCATAATGGCAAAGGTGATCTGCGCTTTTCTGGCAGGCCCCTCAGACTCCAGCAAATGGGCATCGTACTTGGCAGCCAGCACATTTTGAGCATCAAAGGCCACAACTGTCCGCACGGAGTCAAGAATGTCCTCGGCAAAACTACCGCAACGACCCTGACAGTCAAGCGATCTCTTGCTATACACCATGGTAAACATGGATCCTCCGCCCATAATAACCAGCAGGGCAATAAGGGTGGAACTACAGATCAAGGCCAACTTCCAGAACTTGATGTAGGCGATGATGAAGGCCGTAGCAAAGGTGGATAAACCAGTCAGCGCCAGGCCGACTTTCTCGGAGATTCCATCCTGGATCAGGTTTGTGTCTGCCGTGATGCGGGTGGTAATTTCACCGGCTCCCAGGTTATCGAAAAAAGCAATGTTCTGGCGCAGAATGGCGCGCAGGTATTCCACGCGGATGCGCTGGACGACATGGTCACCGGTGTAGATGAAGCCGGCGGTCGCAATGTAGATGGTTAGGAACTCGGCGACGGCGAGGTAGATAAAGTAAACAACATATCGATTGAGCTCGTTATGGAAGTGCTCATAGGTGATGGTGCCGGCAACGATGTCTTGGAAGGTTGAGGTGAGGTTGCCGAAGAGGACCTATGATGGTTAGGACAATGCTGAAGATAGAGAGCAAATGTACTCACGGTGAACAGAGGGAGAGCAGCCCCTCCTGCTACAGATGCGACCGAGCTGAGGATGATGAGGAATATGTCCAAGCGACTGGCATATCGATAGATGCCAAAGAAGCCTGGCTCAGATGTGGGCGCATTCACCTGCTTGTCGAGGATGTCCTTCTCGACCTCGGACAGGGAGATGGCAGTGCTATCTGTGCCCGGAGACTATTGTGGCATGTGTCAGTTGTACAGTGGGTTTCATATAGCATAGGGATAGTGACACTCACCTTAGGAAGTTCTTCCAGGCAAATGTCCTCCTTCCACTTCATGATGTCGACAGATGGTGACTACCAGCATGCGCCATCAAGTGGACATTACTATTAGTGTATTGTAGCAAGAAAAGCAATAGACCAACAGAAAGAGATGACACAACGATCAGACGAGTCGCAGCCCAACAGAAATGCCCAGTCCAAAGTCAATCGGACAGAGACCGGATCCAATCTATCCGTCACATGAAGGGAAACAAGTCATAGAATCTCCAAGAAATCCAGAAACAAGGAGGAAGAAAACCCCTATACTTGAAACCTCAGAAATGGTAAACACAGCCCGAGGTGAACTGCAGCGAATCCCACGGATCCCCAGCAGATCCCGACCATCCTTATTCGCATTTCTAGCCATCCATCGGGGCAGGAGTTCGTAGTAAACTTGCAGGAACTTTAATTATCAAAAGACCAAAGATGGGTTAACCAGGGACATGGCCCGTGTGGAAACCAGCGTTTCAAGCCGAACGGGATCGTCAGGCACAAGGCCAGAAACCCAATATTAGGGCTGCGAGATAACCATGTGTTGCTGCACTCATGCCTGGAACCTCAACCCTTTCAGCCGCAGATCCGTATGTCGGATATTACAACCCCTCCGACAATTCTACCGGCCTTGGCTACGGGTGTGTGTGCTTGTTTCGGGGAGTGGGTTCGGGCGCAT